TTAAACAATTGGAATACAACTTTTCAGTACACTATATATTTTCTTAAATTAAATTTTAATTGTTTCCATTTAGTTACTATGAAAATTCCTTTTAGGAATTTTCCATTGAAACAATACATTGTTCAATGAAAACAATTTGTTTTCATTAAATAAATAAAAGCAGAAATTGTTAACTAATACAAATTAGTCATTAGTTTTTCATTACTTTGCATTACATTATACAAATTTAAATATTAGTTTCATATAATTTTTACTTTCCAATCCTATCGGAAATATATATTTTTATTTATGTTTTTATTCTTTAGCGAGAGAAACACCTACTTGGTTTTGTAGATCATTTAATTGTATGAGGTCATAAATCATATTTAAAATTAATATCAGGTGGCACTTAGGGTTAGTCTATTTCCACTAAACGTTGCTGGAAACATCCTGGGCATATACCTACTTTAAATATAAGATGACTGTTTTGTATGACTTCTTTTTTTAGTTAGGCTGTAAACTTATTCACACACACCCAAACTATTTTAAATTTGATTATTTGCCTTCAGAGGACCTTAAATATATATACTTTATATATATGAGTGGCTTCATATCTAAAACTGACATCTGTCATTACACAAATTGAAGGAAAAGTCTTTACTTTTTTTTTTTTTATAGGTTCAACTCAAACTATTTCTGATAATTTTATTTAACAATGTTCAAGATGAATCATTAAAACAAATCATTTGAATTGGTTTAAATCAAACCTATTTACAAGAATTGGCTTATTCTCAACTTCGTAAAAATTACAGATGTCAGTTTCTAATATGAAGCCACTCACATATATAAATATATATCAGATTACTTTATTGAATTAGTCTATTTTATTAGGGTTAGTCCACAGTGTAGTAGTGTGGTAGCCAGAGGCTTTATTAATATCAAACTAAAACCATTTTGTTTTTTTCTCTCCTTCCTCGCCTTTTTAGATTATACAGTTTTCCTGGGCTAGGGGGTGAGTACGGGGGATAAATTCAGAGTTAAAAGACCCTCCGATACAGGGACATGAACTTATAATTATTTCTTCATTTATAACTTCGGTTATCAGGTTGCTGTCTGACACGCGGTGCTGTGCGCACACGTTAGCCTGCTTAGCCACTACGTCCCAATATCAAGCAAAAACCAATTTACTATGTAAATAAAAACTAAATTATAAATACTAACAACATAAATTATATCCTATATTTATAATATACTCCCATCTCTTTCTCTCTCTATGCTTAATACCCTAAAATTTGTTTATATTGTAAAATGGCTAGTATTGGTTGAAGTTAAAGGGCTATGGTTCGGAAGTAGGGGAAGGATCCCTTTTAAATGTACATTTGAGATGATCGTTGTTGGAAGGGAGCAGATACAGATCATGGCAGAAACTATTTTAGACTCATAAGGAATCCTCCATCACCACATCTATTGATCTTGGCCATCTCTTATTTGACTCAGTAAACCGTCTTCGCATATTTGATATGGTCCGGCCTAACTTTCTCTTATTTATTTATTTTTTTTAACATCTGCTGAGTAAGCTGTGTTATTTAGCAGTTGTATAGTTCTCTCTAGTATCTAACATTTAAAAATTATTATACAACCTTGAACTTCATATTTGGCAAGAATCTTTCAACAGAGAGTGCGTTCAATGAATCTAATCAAGATTCTGTTCTCTGTTATGATTAAAAAATCAGTAGCAGTCTACTTTGCGTTTTTAAGATAATTAATAAATTAAATAAATATGAGGGTAAACTATACCATAAATAATTCTGAAATAAATAAATTTTTATCGAATTCTTTTAAAACTCTTATTTAAAAATCTTCAATGCTCTACAAAAATAATACCAATCGTTATCATGTGGTCATAAACTTAATTTTTCAATATGGAAATTTCCACTACCTTCATTATTCCTTTAAATAATCATTTTTGATATGTATATCTATTTTGGAACAAATTTTTTTATGCTTATTCTCAGCACTTTAAATCATCAGAGCAACGTGACTTAAACATTTTGAAGCGGTATTATCATGTTCTTTAAAAACTTAAAAATAATAAAATTTATTATTTTATCGTGCTATATTGAGAAGCTTCTGAACGAATGTTATCCCATTGTCAGCTTGAAATAAGTATATGAAAATTTTTTTTGTATACTCACACTTACAGTTATTTCTTTATTATACCAAATGTAAAAGATGAAACAATACATAGTTCATAATAAACCATAAATTAGTTTAAACTTAAAATAAATATGAAATATTAATAGTAATACTTCCAAAGTCTCAGGTCAGAAGTGGCACTGGTTTCAATTTATCCAGAGTTAATTTTTTTTTTTTGTGGCTAACTTGCGGAATTAATCTCAATTGATTCTGGCTTAATAAGGTTGATAACTGTTATGATATATATATTCTTAGAACTTTTAATACATATATATATATATATATATATATATATATATATATATATATATATATATATATATATATATATATCTATTAAAGGTTCTATTATTAATTAAAATATATATATATATATATATATATATATATATATATATATATATATATATATATATATATACATACATACATATGACATATACAAAGGAAACATATATATGTATATATATATGTTTCCTTTGTATATGTCATTGTTGGAGTACATATCAAGTTAACTCAAACAAACTAACGAAAGTACCACAATATTTGTTTTGGCTGATTTAGTTAGCTTAATTTTTATTTTTGAACTGATGCATTACCTACCTAGTTCAATGAAAAGACCAAATTACCATTTTCTTGTGACTTCGATCTTTGACATAAAAAATCGAAATAGTTCCTGAAATTTATAAATCCTTCTTTTCCACCGTTAACATATATTTTTGTATATTCCAAAATGCCTTGATAGATTATATCATGGAATCATTATGCTTCTTCAAATGTTGTTACATAATTTCACCAATTCATTGTTGACATATGCATATGCTGAGGAGTCTGTAATTTTTAATAAATTTTGGAACTATTCCAAAAGATCCTCAAACGTACCGATCAATTTCTCACTTACTTAAATTCCAGCTCTATCCTTTATTTACAGACTGTGCCATTGAAAATCTGATTTAAGTTAAATAAAATGTAGACAGATTCTTTATATATTCTTACTTCACCTTTTTATTTGGCCTCAACAATTATTTAGCTTTTCTTGAATTTATAATTTGTTTCTATAAATATAGACAAACATTTAGAAATAAAAATATTTGAATTAAAATATAGAACAGGCATATATATATATATATATATATATATATATATATATATATATATATATATATATATATATATATATATATATATATATATATATATATATATATATATATATATATATATATATATATTTATTTATACTTGTATAAAAAGTAGCTTAATATATGTGCTAGTGGACGGTGCTGAGACTGTCGGTGTGTCCCTGGCCTGATGGAAGCTCTATTTTTTAAAATTCTAGCTTTGAAGAGGATCCCATCGTTGACTTATAAAAAGAAAATACCGGGATCGAAACGTCAATAAACATAGAAGAAATGAACATTCAATAGTTTATTAAATAATTAATAAGTGACCTTATTCCCAATTAAATAGTTAAGTTTAAATATATATATATATATATATATATATATATATATATATATATATATATATATATATATATATTTTTTTTTTTACTTTAATTTACCTACATATAAAACACTCCTGGAGTCTAAATAACCAAGTCTTGCAAAATGGCCTGTGAACATGACACTGTGCATGTATTTGTATTTATTTGATCAGTATAGCTGAAACGAAAAGATGTAGGACATTAAAATTATATGTACATACCAACTTTTACACTAAAATGAACTAAATAGGCAGTGCCACTTTATATAATTGATTTTAAACATTTTTAAAAGGGCTCTTAACAATTTTGACAGGACCCAATTTTCAATATTTTTTCTCCAAAGGACCTTTAATGTTGTTTATTAGGAATAATCATTAATGCAATGGTTAAATATGAGCTTTATAAGAATTTAATAATTTTGCTATAGGAGAAAATGAGAAAAATATTTTCACAGGTTGGAAAACAAATTTCGGAAATATATCATAAGTATTATAAATATATAATGTACCGTTAAAAAGCCAGAGATTTTAGGAAAATTAATATCTTATTATACAAACTTATAGAAGGTAACACAGATTATTGAAAAACTAATGATTTCAATTATTTAATTAATGTCTGCTTTTACATTATTGAGGTGGAAATAAATGTTTCCATAGAAACAAAATGGAGTTTCTTAGGAAAATTAATGAAAAAGTTTAATATTTATTTTCATTTTGATAAAATGACAGTCCATAGAATTGTCATACTTTATATTAATTTTCGTAAGTTTGTATTTATAATTAAAGTAATATTTCTAAGGTTTATTTACTTAAAAAAAAAAATAATTATACTGGAAGTAGTGTGATGCATGCAACCAAATTTTGTTTTTGATGAGTTATAAAATTAATCATATTGTCTCTCTAATCCCTGCAAGGAAAGTATGCTCACAAACAACTGTAACCTAATTGTAATAAATGAAAAATACTGATGTTATTATTTTATTTGTTAAAGATAATTGACGAAATTTAAGAGTATAGCTGTTGAAAATTAAATAAAGGCAGTTAATTTTTCTTAACTATTATTATATTTGTTATTTCTTTTATAATTAACAAAATTACTTCATTACCTCTTTTATATGATAACAGTTCATTCACATATATTTGTTTGCCTTTATTTGAAACATGGGCTGGTATTATTGCCAAACTTCATTGGCAACACTACCCTCCTATTTTTGTACTGCCTAAATATTATGCTACCATTTTACTACCTCCGGTTATTTAATAAGCTTACCTGTGTAGTTTGTAATAGAAGTTCTGTTCTAAAACATATAAATAATTATTTTTTTATCTTCAAAGTCAACATGACATGGGTTACTTCTGAAGAAATTGAACATCTTAAGGTATGGAATTAAATTTATTTTAACACTTAACTTTGGTCATTGGTTTGCTTTTGATACCATCTTTCCTTGTAATGCCTGTACTCCCTTCATCTAATTACTTTTTATTACTTGTGGAGGCTTTTTTTTTTTTTAATTGTGTAAATATTTTTGTTTGTTAAATGTAGTAATATATTGTAATGTATAGCAATAATTGTACAGAGCACATTCTTAGTTGTATGTTGTGATAGGCCTCTTTGCTTCATATTTTTTGCTTTTGCTAAGCACTTTAGTTGTTCACATTCTATTTCTGCATGATAGAAAATGTTTTTCAATTTGTACAGTACTCATAGATGATATTTTATTAATATGTGCATTTAACCAAGCACTTGTTCATAAATAGTGTGATAATTAGATTTTTATTGTTATTTTATTTGACATTAAGAATTTTAGTGTTATGGATTACTAGATTTTTTGAAGATTTATTTTAAATACTTTTAAAGTTTTATTGTAGTGTAAACAAATTTGTTGTATAGTTCAGGATTTTATTATTTATTTGATAGATGAATGAAAAAGTAGATTACATTCTATGTAATTAAAAGTTTACTTTCCATTAAAAATAAGTAATCTTGAAATAAGTTTACATCTCTTATAAATAATGCTAGGCAGAGATTAGCACTCTGTTATATTCCTTGTCAAAGTGCAGCTTACTGATATTATTCCTTTCCTATTTTTGATATATATTTCCTCTTCCACTTATGATTACTGCCATTACGATTTATTTAATTATAATACATCAAATAATTGAAGAAATGATACATTAAAGGAAAGAAAAAAGATAAATATTTGTATTACAATTATTTTTTATTATGCATAAATACTTGATATTAAAACTTATGTGATTGAGATAGAAAAGTATAAAATAAATGACGTTGGTTGATAAAATGCCTTTTTTACAAATCTTAAGTTCTGAGGAAATTCCTGTCTAAATTTTTCAAAATATTTTATTTTTATTTTTATGATACTTAACACCTATGTAAGACGAAACTCTCCTAAACCAATTTTTCTAATTTTAATATCAGCATAATTGGATTATTCTAGCCATATATTACTTATAAGTATCATAAATAATCTACAATAATAATATTAAAATATACAACTCTTCAGCAATAAATAATGACCATCTTTGGCAACAATTAATATAATGTAATCTGGAACTTTTTTTTGATTTCCTTTAAACTTTTGAAAATGATTTAATTTACCTTTGACATACTATTAGGTAGAGTTTGTCTAAGATAAGTTTGCCGGTGGGAAGAGGAGAAGAGAGATATGTAGTGGCTAAACGTTTTCCTGCCGAATCTCCCTCTCTTTTGGTTCTCTCTACTCTTTTGTCCATACTTCTAAAAAAATGTTTACGAGTAGATATTTCTTTAACCATTATTTAATTATTTATTTTACGAAATTAGAATTTAGAAGAATATCGAAAAACGCATCCTGGTATTAGGATGTTGTTATGGAGAGGAGGGTAGGGAGATGAAGCTTGAGAGAAGAAAAGGCTGCGTGAGCTCCCTTCCCCTACAGGCAAACTCATCTAAAACTAACTAGTAGACATTGTTGCACGATGTGTCTGTAGGCAGTCTCAAGCCACGGTTGGGAGACTTTAGGCCTGCGATATTTGGTCTCCCAACATGCCTGTAGATTGGGATCGGTCTATAGGCATGTCTATGTAGACAAACTGAGACATGTCTCAGAGACAAAAATTGTGCAACATGTCTACTAATGTGGACTAGGCTTTAGACGCACAGTACTCATGATTTGATTAAGTACTGGAAACTTTCATATATGGAGGAAAGAGTTTATATTGGCCAATAGATTTTAATTAGGAATTTTAATAAGTGTTAACAAGTTTCAAGTGGTTTGTATAAAAAATTAAAATTTAATATTTCATTTTTATTCTTACATTTTTCCTGTTTGATTTAATTAGTTTCACGTTTGAATTCCATGAAGACCCCCCTAAGCATGTTTTAAAAGGTTTTTGGGTGTGGAATGGGATCAATATTACCTTTGTAAGGTTAAATGAGCAACTATTTAGATTAAGATTTAGCAGCCCTATCTAGAAAAGTGTATTAAAGGTTCTAAGAACTTTAGCGAGCAATGAAAAAAAAAAAAAGAAGCTATCAAATAATGCTTATCTTTAAATTTGATCTAAGATCTTAAAAGATATTTTATGATTTTGATTTGTTTGTTTTTATCATTAATTTTACTCTTATGTAAGATATTGCATTTTAACATGCTCGATTTATTTGTACTCTTATCATATCTTAAATTAGTTGAAAGAACAAATTAATTTTTTGAGACAGAATCCTGCACTACTCTTAATATTTTTTATTTTTTGTTATTAGTTTTTGACTATTTTATCTGATCCTATTATGTATTTATTTTAAATATGAATATAAAGCTAATATAAATATTTGTTTTAAAGATGTCTGTCAATGTTTCTTCACCAAGGGAGCGACTTCGCACTTCTTTAGCTCCTTCTGCTCTGGAGCATGTTAGTTCCTTAGACATTGATTCAGATGTTAATAGTATACGATTTTCTTCAATAATATGCACAATTGGTAAGTTACTAGAATTCTTTACTTTAATATGTACAAATGATTATTGGTAACACTGATGAAAAAATAAATTAAGTGATAAATAGGGATGCTAAATAAGAGTCTGTTTTATATCACGGACGTTTCTTTACTATGGTTACTTGATGAGTATTTTATCATGGTGATAAAATTTTAAATATAAAATGATTCTAGTTCAGATAAATGTATAGATAAATACAAATGTGTTTTTTTTTTTTACTGAAGTGCTACCAGTTCATTTTTTGCCAATTGTTTAGTACTGTTACAGTACTTTTAGTAACAGTTACATTTATGAGTCAAGCAGTTATTATTTAAAAATAATATGTCATGAAAGATTAAACATTTTATTGAAAATTATTATTAAACAACAGGTTAACTTTAACAATTAAAATTTTTCTGAATATTTCACAATATTTGTTTTAAGCGTGTCTAAAGTTTCTAATTGCCTGTAAAATTGTTTTGAATAAATCTGACCATTTTTGTAAATGTAAAGTTTCATGTTATCTCCTCTGGAACATTTCCTTTTTCTATGTGATTTTAATACCCTTCATTCGTGATGAAAGAATTTTATTTTACTTTAAGAAGTTCTTAATTTAAGTTTTAAATTCACACCCAATAAAACAAACAATAACTTTATGATTGTAATCTCAATGGAACAATCCTAATAGTAATAATTTATTAAATCATATCAATTTGGCACAAAACTGTAATAGTTCTAAATAAGTGACAAAAAATGAACTAGCGATACTTGAGTACTGCAATAGTTCTAAATAATCGACAAAAAATGAACCGGTGATACTTAAGTAAAAAAGACCCTAAAAATATTGATTTTTTCAATAATAATTGTATTACGCATTATAGTTCATTACTCTGGGACTAAGTGGGGAACGATTTTAGTCATTAGAAGCCGCAGTTAGGATGGGCAGTACTAATGTAGGTTGCTACAATTCTTTGTATTTTATTGTTTCTATTTTTATTTATCGCTAATTACATAAACCTATCCACATATATTAAACTTAATTATATTAATTTTCAAATTTTCCTTACTCAAACAAATAAATATTAATTAATTGTAATACTAGGTTAATAAATATCATGTGCAAAAATGTTTGGAGCCCACAGCTATGTCACAAAGGTCAAAGCTTTCCCATCTATATTCTAGGATAATGATTTATTTACCAACTTTATTATGCAATAAACGCCTAACTTTTTTTTAATATATTGACTGGCAAATTACTATCTTTCTATAGAAATAAATTGTTAGGCAGACCAGGTGGATGTTTTTAAAAAAAAAATTCTTGAACATTTTGAATTTGAAGAAAACATTGAACTCACCTGCTTTTATTAACTTAACTATACATTTCATTTTAATACATTTATGTTCTTGATAATAATAATATTCTATTTTTAGGACCAGCCTCCAGGGATGTCAGTGTGCTCGAGAACATGATCGATGTTGGAATGAATATTGCTCGACTGAATTTTTCACATGGTACCCATGAATACCATGCCGAGACTATTGCCAATGTAAGGGAAGCTAACGAGAACTATAACAGTAAGCATCCTACTAAGCATCAAGTAGCCATTGCTCTCGATACCAAGGGACCAGAAATTCGTACAGGATTGCTTGAAGGTGTAAGTAGACTTATATTATTATTACTATCATTATTTTTATCTTAATAAGTAATAATAAAATAAAATAAGAGATTAAAAAATAAACTCATGTCGCCAAAAATGTTTCAACTTCAAATATTGTATTACTGGTTTTGATTTATTGTTTCCAATAATGAATCTTTGTTGTTGACCTAAAAAACAATTTAACCCTTCCCCAAAATTTAAGGTTTATGTTTCAAGAATGCGAGAATCCAAAAATTGAGTAAAAAAAAATTGTCTGAGTATTCTAGGATGATTCAAAGAACTACCATCAAACATTTTGTTTTGAAATAGTAGCCATTAAAGATTTAATTCGGATATTAATGAAGATTTTGAAAAAATATAATATATTTTGGATTCGTTATGCTAGAGTACATTTAAAAAATAATAATAATTTCTTATTGCTCCCTGATTATTATCTTGAATAGGTGGACATATTTTTTTTTTTCTCATTTTGGATTTAGTTCCAAATATCTGTTTCCTTAATTGCACACTCTGCATTATTAATTGTTTTTCTTCTCTTGTAACAATTGAATTGATTGTTAATTCACCGAAGTTTATTTGTGAAAATAAAAAGAATAATAAATGTGCCTTTCCTATAGAAATAATTGATAGGAGCAAGTCACAAAGCCATCTATAATTACTTAATACATCTTACTCTTCAAAATTGTTCATAATATCCTTTCGATAAAACCTCCTACTTTTTGCATAATTTAAAGGCAATAATGTATTAATTAATTAATTATTACTGTATATGTAAAAAATATCTAACAGTTTAACATGTAAAACTTTTAGTATAGCATTTTATAAAAATTAAAGTTTGAGAATTAATGATATAAGTTAATAGTAATATAGTTTTTATAATAGTAATATAGTGTATTTGTGAATACATGTCATTTGAAAATACAGTATTATTTTATTTATCTTTAATTTGCAGGGTCCTAGTGCAGAAGTTGAACTTAAAAAAGGAGAAACGATCCGTTTGACGACTGAACCACAGTTTTCTTCCAAAGGGACAGCATCTGAATTATTTGTTGACTATCCTAATATGCCAAAAGTTGTTCAGCCCGGCAATTTGATCTACATAGATGATGGTCTCATCAGTCTTAGAGTAAAACAAATAGGTTAGAATTGCTTTTTATTTATATTTTATTTTTAACTAAGATTAGTCCTACTTTAATACTTCAAATAAAATGTTCTTTCTATGTATTTAATGAAAAAACAAAGAATTGTGTAATGAGAGTTTTATATTTTAATGTTTGATGTATAGGGATCGATAATAATATGCATTCATTACTGGTTTTAATTTTATTGGGAGCAGGGCAACTCAGTGAATAAGACACTGTGCTCCTAGCTTGCACCCTCCATGAGTGTGGGTGTTTGTTATTTTATTTTATTAATTAATACAGATAGGTATCTTCTCAAATATTATAAAAAGTCTTCAAAAATGAAAGACGTGCTACAGTTTTTAAATATAAATAATTTTTGGAACAGAATTTTTATTTTGAAATCTAAGCTTGCTGTATAAATTCAATAAAAATAAGATTAATGTAGTTAAAACAGAATGATACTGTTCAGTGGGACATGTATTAAAAAGATGGTACTGAATTGCTAGCAACTAACATACCAATAATATTCACTTATTAGTTTCTAGGGATGCAGGTGTATAGATATTGACAAGCAGTTTGAGCCTTTTATACTGTTTCTCAAAGGTGTTTTTTGTTGGTGCACCATATCTTTCTTAATTAACTTTATTAAATTCAATTGAGGCATCATTTTTAAAATTACCTTCATCATAGCTAAAAAAAAGGGAACATTTCCCAGAAATAGCTGAAAAAGTAGTTATGAAGAAAAGAAAACTTTATATTGCACATCACTAAGAAAAAGTATACTTTTCATGGTATATTACACTCAATATGATTTAAAATGTTTTTAAATTCTCCTCAATATGATTTAAAAAAAAATCAAAATCTGATCATTATTAGCAAAGATAATACCATAATACCTTTTGGAATTTGTCCTCACGTTTTAGTTTATTATTTTAAAGTAATGACTTGAGGAAAAAAAAAATTAATTCATCCCTTTCATTATATATTACTCATATTTATTTCTGAATTAGTGAATTATTCGCACCAGCGAACTAGTATATTAGATTATTATCGTCACTTTTTAAAATAAATCTGTTGTACTATCCTATGTAAAATTTTCAAAAATTTTCTGGATAGAAAAAAGAAGTTTTAATAGTTTCAGATGTATAACTGTTGATATTAGTCAGTTTCTACATTTTAAGTATTGCTCTTTTAATTACCCATTTAGCTTGTTTATTCACTATGCTGTACCCTCGGGAAATACGCAACCTTGGACCTAAAACATTTTACCATTGACCTTCAGAAATGTTGCATTGATAATTTTTAAAAAACATCCTTTTACTTATTTAAAAAAAAAAAACTTGTGCTAATTTATTTAATATTTTTATTTTCTAGGGCCAACTACTATTGTATGCAATATTGAAAATGGTGGTATGCTAGGTAGCAAAAAAGGTGTTAATTTACCTGGAATAAATGTAGATTTGCCTCACATATCAGAAAAAGATCGTGCTGACCTAAAATTTGGTGTTGAGCAAGGAGTTGATATGGTTTTTGCATCCTTCATCCGAAGTGCTGCTGCAATCAAAGAAATTCGGTCTGTACTTGGTAGGTTTGTTAATACTTACTGATATTGAATCTTAGAGAACTTTCACACATGTTGTTATTTAAACGTTTTTTGTCAATAGGTGAAGAAGGAAAAAAAATAATGATAATCTCAAAAATTGAAAATCATGAGGGCGTAAAGAAATTAGATGAAATAATTGAAGCCTCTGATGGAATTATGGTAGCACGTGGTGATCTTGGTATTGAAATACCAACTGAAAAAGTATTCCTTGCTCAGAAGTGTATGATTGCAAAATGTAATTTGGTATGTTTCATTCCCAATGAATTAAAATTATGTACTTTAGATTTTGCTATTTATGTCCTATTTGTATAACTATCCAATGGATGGTTACCATTATTTACCCAATTTTCATATTTCAAATAATTTATTAATAAAATGAGCTTTACTGACATAAATACTTATATTTTTTGTCTGGCCTATTAATCCAACTAATGCATGATATATTTTGTAAATTACTGTGTTCTACTTAGTTTTAGAAAACCTCTGAATTTCTTTCTTACACTTGTCCTTTTATAAATTCAAAAAAGAATTGAATAAATTTCTTAAATTATATAATCGACAACTTAGTTGTTATTTGTATGTTTCATATTTTTATTTTGTGTTGTATATTAATTTCAATCTGACAATCTGTTATTCTTTGTTCGTAACTTGGACAGTTATAAAATTTATAAAAATATTGGTATATCCAATTATGTATGAAAATTTATTCCAACATTGAAGCAACATGGCTTATAAAGTAAAAATGTACTGCATTATTATCTTTTATTATTTTAGGCAGGAAAGCCAGTTATTTGTGCTACTCAAATGCTCGAATCAATGATCAAAAAGCCGCGACCTACAAGAGCTGAAAGCTCTGATGTTGCTAACGCGATTCTTGATGGAGCTGATTGTGTTATGTTGTCCGGTGAAACTGCTAAAGGAGATTATCCTCTTGAGTGCGTTAAGACCATGGCAAACATATGCAAAGAGGCCGAAACTGTGGTTTGGCATAAACAACTTTTTGAAGATCTTGTTAGTTTGGTAAGTAATATTTGATGATTAATGTTGTCTAATGATATTAATTTTTATTTAGTATATTTTGTCTTTCGAAAAAGGGAGTTAGTAAAACCACATGTCAGTAAAACATTATAATTATGTAGAAAATGACCACTTACACTGTAAAAAAAAAAAAACTCGAAAGTATCAGTCGTACTCTTATACAACTGTTATTGCTCCATTAAAATCATAGCTTTTAAAGGCATTTTAATTTTTCGTTAATTCTGCTGTTGTTCAACCAGAATTAATTGGAAGCCTGAGGGCGAACTCATGTGTATGGTTGCCGTGTCTATTTCTGATACGACTAATCCCTGATTTTGGTTTTTCGGTGATGGAATTTTATGTAATGGGATCCTATCTATGTTCCCTACCACTGTATGCTGGTGGGGCTGCCATCTTTATGCCTGCATACCTTCGTCCCTCCATTTTGGCTTCCTAGGAAAGGTGAGGCTAGCGTTTGTTGAAGTGTAGTGTGGGTATATTGTATAAGTGTACTGTATGGGTGTTAGTGTAACCCCAGCGTGTAGGACTGCTTGCTGCCTCTCAGCAGAGGAATGGATTGCCATTATCACTTCCTTATGCCAAACCCTTTGATATTATTTACAAAATATTTAGAAATATACATATAGTGTTGTATCTTTCAATATATTACAACGAATTTTTGTTTATTTATTGAAAATTATTCATTAGAGACATTTATATTAATGTAATAATAATAATCGACTCAATTCTAAGAAATTTATTTTTTTATTATAATGGTTTTCTTCTTCTGAAGTTATTATTGAACTAACTTAACCAATAAATTAAATTATTAATAACAATAATATGTATTTAACAAAAACGCTTAAAATGTATATATTTATCGATGTGTGGTACATAATATCCAAGGGTAAAGGATAAAACAAAATATTAGTTTCAACTTAGTGCTGTACTTGAGTTCATCAACTAATTTGGCTACGCCATACATTAAGTCAAAATTGTCCAAAACAAACTTCAATGCTATATACCTAAAGTTATGTATGCAAATACTGCACTAATTAAAGAAATAAAAAAAATTGGTTTGAGTAGATATCATTCCAATAAGCTTATGTATACTAAATAAGCTTAGCGGAAACTAATTCATTTCAGTCTCATGATCAAATTGTCAAACCAAAAATGTTCTTCAATGTTGATAATTACTTAGGAAAAACCATTCATCCACCTAGTTTAGTGTATATTCTTTATAGAGCTTAAGATATTTTTTTCATATTATGTTCTATGACTTACAGTCTCCAACTCCAATGGATGCAACCCAAAGTATTGCTGTAGCTGCTGTTGAAGCTTCAGCAAAATCTCTTGCTAATGCAATCATAGTAATTACGACTACAGGTCGTTCTGCCTATCAAATAGCTAAGTATCGACCAAGATGTCCTATAATTGCTGTAACTAGGCATCAGCAAGTCGCTAGGCAATGCCACCTCTTCAGAGCTGTGTTACCCGTTTACTATGACAGTACGTATCTGTTTTATTACTGATGTATTTTTTTGTTTCTATATTTAGAATAGAATAGAATAGAAGAATCAACTTTATTTTGGGGCAATGTCCCTTGAGAATAACAATATTGTACATAAAAATTAACATAACATCTGGCCGAAATGCATATTACAATAAAAAAACACACAAAAAAAAACTAAAAAATAAGTAATAACAGAAGGATTTACATAACTATACTGATATATTAAAGAAATAATATGAGCAATAAGGTCCTAATACTGCAAAATAGTTACTAAAAATAATAAACTATGGAATTTTTAGTGAAATTTTAAATGAACGACAAATTACTTTACTTTTGTTGTCATACCATTGTATTAATGAAAAAAATAATAATAAAAAAGTGGATAAATATTTACTTTAAATGATTTACATATGTACCTTAATAGGTTCAAAGAATACAATAATAATAATAATGTAAACATTATACAAGTCCTGTATAATCTAAATCCTAAGATGTAGATTGATTGGTGAATATAAAAGAAAATATACATATAGACGAGATTATATACATATATAATATACATGATAAATGGCTACCCAGCATCTGATTGAATTATAAGGAGGAATTGGAATAAGAGGGTTTTAAATATGGATAAGGGTGGTGCATGACGGATTTTAAGTGGGATGGAATTCAAAAAGGTGGTTGAGCGGACAATAAAGGAGTGTTGAAATGAGGCCGAACATAATTTTAGTGAAAATGACATACTTTACCAGATGTTTATTTAAAATCTGGAGGGAAATATTTTATGCTTCCGTGGTATATTTGTATATTTTATTGTTTTTAATCAATAAAATTAGTACTTTAAAGATGGATACATATTATAATATATACATTATTATTTATATTTTATTTTCTTCTTCCCTGGCCTCTCGACAATACAGATTTTTGGTTATTGGAAAATAGTTGATACCTTTACCACCTATCTTCTGGCTCTTCAGTCTTTGGTTAGTGGAGGTTGAAGTGATCATCCCCGACTACTTCCTTCCACCAGTACACGAATGCTTTGTAGTACGGGTAGTTATGCTTACTTACTAGCTGAGGGAAATTGTCTTCCGTGATGATGTAGAGTCCGGTCAGGGAGGACCCATTTCGCTTCCAATCTTGAATAGACTGTAAGAAAGTATTTCCTCAAGGTAGAGCCTTTATGAGTAGTTACCTAACATCGATTCCACTGCTCAATGGTGTCCTCCTCTATTATTCTTTAGCATTTACATGGATCTGCTGCAATCCTTTCTTGGAGATTTTGCGGAATACTTGCTGAGCCTTCTTTCTTAAGAATATACTTAAGCTTGTCTTCTTGCAGGAGAAGGTCGAGAGGTACCCCTCCTGCTAAAATCTGCACCGCTTCATGAGCAACAGTCCTGTAGGATTTTGTTACTCGCAGCAGAGCTGTTCTCTGAATTGTTGCCAGATTGCGAGAGGTTACGATTCCAAGCTGGAGAGGCATACCTCAAGATACCCAGTACTAGTCCATTCTAGATAGTCATCGTTGCTGAGTACCTGAGGTCCCAGAAGGCGCCACCAATACAACTTATTCCATCTAGGGCTAGGGTCACCCTACTTCTCAGGTAATCCAAGTGAGGAGTAACATTGAATATTCTACCGAATCTCACTCCAAGATAGGTCACTTCCTCACTCAGACTTATCCTTATCCTTTGTGTATTCATGACCATAGGATGAGCCCTAGCCGTCTTACCCATTAGAAGTATAGCTTGGGTTTTGGTGCCAGCCATTTTCAGCCTTTTCCTCTCATACCATTCTTTAAGAAGATTGGCACTCCTTTCTACTTCTCCTTTCAAGCTGGCTCTGGTGTTGGATGCCACCACTATGGCCAGGTCGTCGACATAGGCCATGGCAGGGAACCATTCCTCTTCATGTACCCCCAGCGATTCATCGAATACTAATTTCCAAAGAGCAGGTCCGAGGACGGAGCCCTGCGGACATTCCCTTTCCACTCTTTCTTCGACTTCATAGAAGTTGCCTTCGAGTTCTAGTTCATAGAAATTGAAGGGATATATATATCCCTTAAAGCATTAGGGTGCAACAAAAAATACTTTTTTTGGTGTTCAACTTTCTTACAGCATTCAATGAATTTTCCCTTTGTGAAATCTCAACATTATCATATCTTCCTCTAAAGTACCTTTAATTTGGTTATTATAAATAATAACTATTTATCATTGTTAGGAGTTATGGAAAAATGCTAAATATAACTTTTGGAAGAATTTGATAATTAAATAAAGGAGAAAAAAATAAAAATACTTATCCAGGTCGAAAATGAATCTCTGGAAATACTGGTCAGAAGGTGTACGTATAATATATCATTGGAAAGCGGAGAATTTGGAAAAAAAAACAATTTAATATAGAAAGTTGTAGAAGGTAACGAAGAGTGGCAAAAAAAATATAAGTAATAACATGTTTTCAAGGAAATTTAATGAAACTTTCTTACTAAATATAAATGTTTAAAAAGTATTTAAAACCCACGGGTTCAAGGTGATGACATTGTTTAAAATACTATTTCATTGTACTTGTGTGAAAGAAGAAGTGAAACATAAAAATATTTCATGGATACGTTTATAACCTTAAATATATTTACTGTAGTTTAATAACTCTAGATCTGACATTATATTTAAATAATTATGTACCTATCGTCCGTTTATTCCAAAAAATCATTATGTAACCTTTTAGAAAATAGAATTAGTGAATAATTTCATAAATTTTCCCTTTGCAATATTCTAACAGAATCGACTTACAATTAGTGTGACAACTTTTGACTTCTCTATGACAGACAATGAAAATCTCTGAATTCCGTTTTAATAAACTTTGCAATGGAAAATAACAGTTAAATAACTAATGGTCGTACAATCCATAATCAACGGATCGAACAATCCATGATCAACGAATCGTACAATCTATAATCAACCGGAGATATAATAAATTGGACTTTTGTTATTTTAATAGTATTTATGATTTGTTAGCTGCAATCTTTTAGCTTTAGCCCAATTAAAAATGCAATTAAAATTTTTTATAATAGCCCTACATGGCCAGAAAATAATTTCTATTCAAAGTTGAGCGGTAAGTGAACGTTGTGTGTTGCGCGCACCAGATTTTTTTTTTGCTCTGTGTTATATATAAGTTGAAAATAATACCAGAAATTTAAATACTCTTAAAATTCATTTATGCATAGTTAAAATACATTTAAATTCAAATTTTTTAATTAAAAACTATGTTGCGCGCTACATAGAAGACTCATTGAAGGACTGGTCAAGAGATATCGATGAAAGAGTTAGAGCTGCAGTAAAGCTTGGCATTTCCAAAAACTTGCTTAGCATTGGTGATACTGTAGTCATTGTAACTGGATGGAGGCAAAGCTCTGTGTTTGTTAACAATCTACGTTTAACGTATGTCATTGATGAAGGATATGTAGATGATATCAACTGTGTCCTTAGAAATTCAGAGAAGCAAATGAACTAAACAAAAATTTTAAACAATAAAGACCTGATTTTTATTCAAATCAAATTTCTTTAGTTTTGAATTAATTCTTTAATAATGGTTAGGCAATGTCTAGAAAAAATGAAATAACTTATTACAGGTTAAGTTGATTTACTTTATTGATGATGTATATGTAGTTTTTAAGTTAATTCCTGGTCCCGGAATGAATATTAGCCGATGGTAACAATTCATTGAAACCCTGGCCAGTAGTTAACCATTAATTACCATAATGACCATTGTTATATTGTCCTTTATCAATAATAATAATTTTTATTGCTCAAGAGTAAAAATAAGAATTATAGCAAGGAGTTGACTAAATTAACAATTTAAACTTCTTAAATCAACATTTTAAACTTCTGTTAAAGATACATCCTCATTGATAAAATACAGAAAATATACATGTGTGTGTACAATTACATTTTCAGTTTCAATACAATACAATGAATATATACATTCAATGTAGTAAAACATAATAATACAATAAAATAAAATAAATATATGTACTAATTCAATGCAAATAATAATACGATGGAACAGATACAGTGAAACCAAATTTTCCTGTTTTGAAACTTAGGGTTCTTCTTCAGCCATTCCTTCTCAGCCTAGTAATAAATTTCTTAATTTAAGACAATGACAGAAATAATGATACAGTTTATTGAAATCTATTCTGTTTTCTACTCTTAAGATGGCTTCCACACAATTTATAGATAGCTCTGTAGTACCTATAACTTTTCTTCTAATGCCATTGAAAATAGGGCAGTTGCTAAGGAGATGGAAAATTGTATCTTTATTTTTTTTTTTGCACAATGGGCAGTTCTCTTCTAGCTAGAAGTTGATGCCTTTTTCCCATCAGCCTTTTCTGAGCTACCAATCTGATTTTAGCTATTGGCATCTTCCTGTTTAAATAAGGTTCAATACTATCTAAAGAGCTTATATATCTGTATATGGGGCTGAATGAGTTGTTGAGGACGAACTCCATATCATTACTTAGCCAATAGTTCTGAGCTTTTTCGATAATTTCATTCACCTCTTCCTTTGATAGGATGTTTCGGTTTTCCACACCCTAATATGTCCAGTTTTGTAAACCAGTTACCCAGTTAAAATGTAGTTTGTAGAGCTTGGCAATCTTAATGAGGGCGATGTAGCATTTCTTGCATAAGTCATTCTCTGGCATCCCTAAGATTCGTTGCCATCAAGATAGTTTCCTCTTCAAGATTTTAATCTGGGTGTGAGGCCGCCCGGTCCCTAATCGCACAATATTGTTAGGTGTATTGTGTGGAAAGTGGAGAAGTTTTTTAAGAAATAATAGATAAGCATTTTCAATTGTACCTGTGCATTCAGGACCCTAAATGCACAGATACAATTGATAAATAGAGTGGTGTGATTTCTGCTATTGATTCGTAGAGTTTTATTTTTGTTTGCCATATGTCTGATTTGCAATTTGAGAGTACTTTAAACACTAAATTATTAGCCATATTACATTTTGAGCTGAAATTCCAGGAACCTGCACGGGAGATATTGATTTTTATCAAGTAAAGGATATAATTTATTTATTTACAAGTAAAACTCAATGATTTAACATAAATGGATCTTAAGTTTTTTTTTTTTTTTTACAGTAAAAATGAAATCTTTCAACCGATTAAACAAAGTTTTGCAATTTACTCGGTAATTTCTAATGAATGTCATATTTATATAAATAAAATAAAGATTTTCTCTGTTCATTGAATAGAATCAAGCCGTTTTATGATATCTTTCTGTTTCATACATTGCAGACACCAAATCCACTTTTTAAAAAAATTTTGTCTGTCTGTATGTCCGCATTGAAACGAAATTTTGTCAGGGGCAAGCTCAGCAATGGCTTATAGTAGACTTAAAATTTTAACATTATATTAAGGTTTGCTTGATTTAAAACATAGGCTTTAAATGAAAACAAAATATTGAGTATAACCAAAGTTATGAATTCTTGGGTAATTTGTCTAGAGATCTCGGTTAATGTTGATAATAAATGTTAATATTCAACATATGTTTATAGGTTAAAAAACATCTATATAAATAAAATAAAGGTTTTGTCTGTACGTTGAATAGAATCAACCCGTTTCATGATATCTTTTCGTTTTATACGTTACAGACACCAAATCCACTTTTAAAAATTTGTTGTCTGCCTGGATGTCCGAATTGTCCAATGAAATTTGGTTAGGGGTAAGCTCAGCAATGGCTAATGGTAGACTTTTGAAATTTTGACATTGACTTTAGGTTTGCTTGACTTAAAATATAGGCTTTAAATGAAAACAAAATATTGATTAGAACCAAAGTTATAAATTCTTGATTAATTTGTTTAGAGATATCAGTTAGGCATTTACCTATACATTTTTAGGATTAACCAAACGGATTAGCCTGAAATCAGGAAAAAAAAATTCAGTACACAGCAGAGTTTAAAGAAGTGGAGAGACTACAACTCTTTTTGATTAATTGACTCCACAATCACCTTGCTTCATCATAAATGAAAATTAAACACTTTAATCAATCGCTAGTGGTCGGTTTAGTTTTGTGATACCCAAACAAATAGCTTAGTAACGAAGTTTTTGTTACGACTATTGCGAAACCTTGACTTCCATAAGCCCCGCCATAAAAAAATTCAAAACCAACCACCTTCCCCCTCCCAACCCAATTTTATGAAATTGAATCTGAACCCTCCTCCCCCCATAATACAAAATCCATCTCAAAAAAAGATTCTCAAATTTTAACTATACACCCGTCAACATGGGTACATCAGCTAGTAATATTTATAAGATAAGCAATGAAAATATGGATTTAAGGATGTTCCAAGTTTTGTAAAACACCTGTGCTCTTGACTTAATCTTAGAAGTAATATTAGTACCCAAATAGTTATATGAAAAAATCTTAGATCAGCATTTTATCAACTTCTGGTGTTAAACTTGATATATGTTTCTGAAATTGATGAAGTTATTTCTTATAAAAAGTATTTTTAACTATTAATAAACTAGCCAATTAAGCCTAAACCTTTAAAAGAAAAAAAGGTCAGTAAAAAATACCAATTATATTATTAATTGGACATGTTTAACTGTGTTTGATCAAACTTGCTTGTAGCCCTAGACTTGAAGTTATTTGATTTTAGTATATATAAAAAAAAAGTTACAAAGAACTGACATTTTTTTATAGATTAAACTCAAAAAGTATACCTACATTTTATTTTAAATTTTATTTCTAATCTTTTGAAGTGTTATTAAATTCCAAAGAATAAAACAAAAATCATTGGAATCCAATCTGCATCAGCAATGGTAGAACATATTCGATTATGTATAAATGTTTTATTACTTTCCTACCACTCTTAGGTAAGGAAATTATTGTGATCAGGTGAAACATTTGATTTGCAGTTTTCAAAAGGTCTTAGTGTTCCCTGAACACGAATTTCGGAGAAAGGCATTTTATTGGTATGAAAATTATGGTAAAGGGAATAAAAATGAGGTTGTCTCAGGCTGAATGGATTATTTTTAGTATGCAACAAAACTGCAAATACATTTTTTTAAACAATAAAAAAAATTTTAGTGATCTATAATACTATAGTGATAATTATAGTTTTATCCTATAACAATTAATTTTTAAATTTAATAAAATTATGTATATTATTTGACCATTATTTTTTTTGGTTAATGATTATTTAGAACCTGTGGAGAATGACTGGCTGAAGGATATCGATGCAAGAATAATATATGCCCTGACAGTCGGAGAGCAGCACGGCTTCATCAAAACAAATGATGTTGTCGTTGTTGTGACTGGTTGGAAAAGAGGAGCTGGTCATACCAACACCCTTCGACTAATTACCGTGCCAGAGAAGTTGGATGGTAACTCTGCATTCGCTCAATATCAGTAAGATTTAGGATAGGATAGGATAGGATCCGGTGTGAATTACTGTTTTAGTCTAGAAGTTCTATTATCTATTACATTCTTGAGTAATTTCTACTTTTTATCTTCTGTAACTTTTTATTTATTGTATCATTTTTGGTTTCTCAGTTATACATATTGTATAAAATTTAGTCATTCCATTATGAATTACTTATTGCCTGTATGCAGTTTAATTTTGTTTTGTTTGTAATTGATGTGCTCATATCATTATTGTATTTAACTTTCATAAGTCTCTTTTGTTAAAGTAACAAAAAAGAAATTTTATTTTTCTTCATGCCTATTGTATTTATTAAGAAAACAATTGTCTTATTTTTATCTTAACTCATTTGAAGAAAAGATAGTTTATTATTAATTTCATGGCTAAAACATGTGTTAATTTTTTAGATAATAGAGGACTGATTGATTAATGTATTATATTACTTGATTACTGGTAATTGGTTTTTGTTAATTTTTTTCTTGAATCAGTAATTTATATTAATAATTAGTCTAACACACCAGACTATGTATAGTTTTTGTGATTTCTGATATAATCTCATGAATGATAATATGTTAAAATTATTTATGTTTTAATTAAATTATTAATTAAATATGATTATGTATGAGAATGTGATATATCTTGTGTGATAACACTTAAAATAATATAATTTCTGAAAACTGATACCTTTATTTATAGTTTGGACTATTTTTCTACATTTTATATAACATTATTCCAACAAGCTTAACCATAGTTAATTAATATTGAAATTGTCCATCATAATAGGAATTGTTTATAATAAACATTGCCTTCTTTATTTGTTTGTTTTCTTATCCCTTTAAAAATAAATATATATTTTAGCAAAAAAAAAATTATATATGGTTGGACTTCATTGAAAATGATAATTTTTTAAAAATCTACTTTCCATAAAGTAGCAAAAAAAAAAAAAAATAAGGAATGAAGAAATACAAATATTTTAATTAGTGATGAGTTTAACAAATAATGATTTCACCGTTCATTAAGTAGATATATATTATTAGTGTACAGGAAAGAACAATATTTTTTTTTGAAAACCTAATGTGAAGGTAATTAATAAGCTTTATTTCTCAGTGAAAAACTTCTAAACAAACACTAGTTTTGTAAATGGTGTATTGCGTGTTGAATTTATGAAGAATTGCTCGTATTTATAGTTGGATAAAGTGATGTCGATAAAAAATGTTTACAGTGACATAAATAGATTAATCCCATCCTACCCTTCTCTTCATATATGTGTAATTTATTTTCTTTTTGCTGTGTATGTTGATTTTGATAAAATTTCATGAAAACTTCAAAATAACGAACGATGGAATGAGGTGTATTGGGCTCCTAAGAAAATATTCATAATATGCCAGGTTCTGAGAATTCTATGATTTAAAATACACTTTGTGATATTCAAAAATGTCAAGTTTGCCAACTACCCATCTACTATGCTTAGGTATATTCTGTTAAAAAAAAAAAATAGTTTTTAGAAGATCCTTTTTTCATTTTATTTTATGCTAGGTCATGGATTCATGGCAGCCATTAAACTTCAAGCAGCCAGGATTGGTCATTTATATTCATTACGAATTAAAATTGATAAATAGCTACTAACAGATTACAACATATAATTCAATAATTTCCGACATTTGGCTGTGAGACCTGGACACTAACCAGCATCCTAGAAAAAAGTATTGAAAGATTTGAGAGGAAAATCCTCCTCCACGATAACTGGAGCGATCTGAGATCAGAGTACTAACTCATGAAATAAAGAAGACAATGCTAATTCACAACCTCAGTACCATTAATCTTAAAAAAGGATTGAGAACAAATTCCTCCGGGCAGATTCTGGTCTATCGAACACATAATAATTAAAGAAATTGACATTCTGGTACATCATACATGTGCTTTCAGATCAAGGTACAGTACTTGTATAATAGTGGGTAGCGTCAAAACCTCCCTTGTTATCTTATATTATTTCACATAGCCTCTCTTATCTCCTCTAACCTAAGTTCTTATTCCCTTGTTTATTGGTTTATTATTTTCAATAATGAAACATTGTGATCGACCAAAAAATTCAAAAACATAACCCCCTCTCAAAATTTGAGGTTTCACGTTTCAAGATGTGTAGAATTCGAAAAACGAATACAAATTTTTTTGTCCGTGCGCTGTGCGCCATCCACCGTCCACGCATTTTCTCCGAAACTACTGGACCGATTTTTTTCAAATTTTGATATAAAATCAGAGGTCTCCCGAGGATGATCCTTCTTCATCGACATTACTCTCCGCCGATAAACTTTTTTGTCGTTATTGTACATGGTTTTTTAACAGTTTATGAAATTTCCTAAAAAAACAAAAAAAAAACAACGTTAAAATCGGACAATTAGGAGCAAAGATATGGTCTCTGGTTTGTTTTTATGTGTTCTACTCCAAATGTTATATCCTTTGTTTGGTTTTTAAATTTTAAATGTGTTACTGAAATAATGCTATATTTTATGTTAGCATATTTCTAATGATTAAAGAAAAACAATTTAGTCCAGTAATTGGAATCACCTTTTTTTTTTTTCTTTGTAACTCGGAAGATAATGTTACTTTAGATGTATAATTGTTTGGAGATAATAAACCATTGTTAAATCAACTGCAGCGTTTTTTTTGTTCCTTGTGTAAGCTGTGAGTTAGTCTTATTTAATTATGGATGTTGTCACATTGTGGGAATTTCCGTCTTCAGGAGAAGAGGCTACCTAATATTTTCAAGACGGCGGGATATTTGCAAAGGTGAAATATTGTGATGAAGGTCATCAAATGAAGTTCGATGGGAAGATTGGAAGAAATGGAGATGCTTTCGTGGTTGTAACCAAACTGTTTCTATAAGGAAACCCTACAAAATTAATTAAGTGAAAATAAAATTGTTCATATTTTGTTTATATCATTTCTTTTATACATACATATGTTCTTTATAGTCTTTCTTTTATATATACATATCCTGTTTGAGTGTTTTTTTATTATTTCATTTATTTTTGTCTATTTTTTGCCTTTTTTATTATTGTATTATAGTATGTTTCATTTATGTGGCAAAATGTATTATTTCTCAATAAAAAGATTTAAAAAAAAAATATGTTTCATTTATTTTTACATATATGTTGCAATGTTTTTTAATTATATATGTATAATGTTTTGGTCTATTTAATATATATCTTGTAAAATAAAAGTATTTTTTTATTATTACATTTTTTTTTTGTTTGTTCCCAATCTCAATAATATCAATACAATGTAATAAATATGAATACGAAGATATAATAATATGAATAGAATACAATAAATGTGAATACAAAGATATTTCTTAATTAATGGCATTATAATAAATGCGTCTGTAATGTTGTCAGAGGTGCCTACAAAGGGGTTTCACGGTGCAAGTTGCACCATCAAAATTTGTGAGAGGGATTTTGAATTTTTGAGGAGGGCATATTTCGACAGGATTATGAATTTTCGGTTTAAAAAAGTTTCAAACCAGGGGACAAGAAAAAAGCATAGTAAAAACCATTGAGAGTGTAATTGTATATGACTTAAGATTTTTAAAATTTTAGTTTAGCTTTCACTGTTTTAAGATGAAAAAAAGAAATAAAACATCTTAGGAGGAGGGGTGAGGGGTCATGCACCATCTAGCTTGGGTAGGATTGGTACCCCTAAGTGTAGTTGTAGTTGTAGTGCGGTGCGCGCATCACACAACTTTCATTTACCACCCTCTTACCAGAAAAAGGTATTTTCAGACAAAGAGAAAATAAAAATAAAAATTATAGACGCTATATTTATTTATATTTCGTTGTGGGTATTTTTATTTGTATAAGTACCCTTATAAATATATAAATATATATATATATATATATATAAATTTTATTATTTATATCGCTGTAATCTATACAATTTAATATTAAATAATACCAACATTACAATTTATGAAAACCGCATATGTATATGTACATATTATTGTCGGAATCGGTATTATATTAAGTTCATGTTACTATGAAAGCCTGTTCTAATCTTCGGGTGAGCTCGACCGCGCTCTTGTCACTTTGGTTCCTTCATTACAACTATTCTCTGTTACGATCTCTTATTTCTCTTTTAGTTAATTATCAAACTCTTTTATATTTTATATTTAACTATTTATTATATTAGAGATTAATGTGAAATAGTCAATTTTTACAAATAAAAAAAAGTAAAGGTACTTTAGGAGAAGCTAATATTGAAAATTAGCCATTTAAGCCCTATTAGAGAACATCAATCAGAATAAAAACTACATTTTATTTAAAGCTGCTTAATTTTACACTGATATGAAACAAAATTGTGTGTTTAGTCCATTATATAAAGTGCCACTTCCGTTAGCCGATTTTGACGATAACGTTGCTGTAACATACCTAGCATATATAAACCTTAAATATGCAATTTCACTTTCGTACGAATTTTCGCTTTTGAGTTTGACTGTTAATACGCAGACATACGCACAGACAGACCATTTTGCGGGACTTGGTTGTTTAGATTCAGAGAAACTCAAAGCGTGTATTTCCGTTGAAAACTGAGATTCGAAAATTTTCAAGATCGCAATACTTTCATCTACTATATATTTCATATATAGGTAAATGAAAGTAACAATAAGCGTTTTTGGATGAATCTACTATTGATAACATATTTAGTCTTCCTTTTTCATTTCTTCTAAATTGAAATTTCTTTGTACAACACAACAAACTTGGTAAAAATGTTCTTTTTTCTGCTCAATAGGCTACTGTTGTAAAAAAGCTCGGTGAGAAGGCTTGAGCCGAAAAGACTCGAGCTTTCCCGATTCGGTCAAGACTCGAGTCCTAAGAGCTGGCCCGTAAAAGGCTCGAGTCGCAGCTTGAACCTTACTTGTTTTTTACCACACGTTTTTTAATGGACTTTTTAAATTGTCTTACGATTTTTATAATAGAGTAAACTGTTCTAAATGATGTTTGTTATTTTATTTATTTATTCCTCCCTTCTCTGCCTTTCGGCTACACGGGATTTTGCAGGGATGGCATATCACACACGTGCTGTTCCTGTTTTTAAACGACAAATTCATTATCAATTTTGTTTTGTTTTTCAAAAACTCTTCTTTTTTCAATAGTTTATTTATCACCATATTAGTCTGGTGGCCTTCCATAAGCAGGTCCTCTTCTTCCCAAATAAAAGTGGGAGGACCCAGAGCAGCTTTCCACCCATACACAAAATCTTTGTAATACGGATAGTTCTACTCCGTCACTAACTGAGGAAATTCATCCTCCGTGAGGATATAGACTCCAATTTTTCTCATCATTTCGGCCCGTAGCCCATCAAAGGCGGTACAGTTGACGATGACGTGCTCAGCCGTCTCCGGTACTCCGCAAGTGGGGTATAGGGGATCTATGTCTTTTCCAAAACTACGTAACTTAGGGCGGAAACCCCCATGCCCAGGAATTGAGAGACCCAGTAGTCCGGGAGAACCCACCTCGCATTCAAGCGACTTCGAACGGTAGAGAAATATTTTCTTAAAGTTGCTCCTTTCGAGGTAGTTACACACCGCCGATTCCACTCATCTGTGGTATCCTCCCGGATAATCCTCTTCCATTTTCTTGGGTACCCGGATATTCTGCGGAAGACCTGCTGAGCCTTCTCTTTTTAACTTAAATATCAGCGAGTCTTCTCGCAGAAGAAGGTCGAGAGGTATCCCTCCTGCTAAGATCTGCACCGCCTAGTGAGACACACTTCGGTATGACTTAGTGACACGCAACAGGGATTCTGAGACCACGCAGGAGAGGCGTGCCTCAGAATACCCACTATCATTCCATTGTAAATGGTCCTGGTAGCTGGGTATCTGAGGCCCTAAAATGCACCCACTAGGTGACTAAGGCCATTCAAGGCTAGGGCCCTATTTCCTAAATAGTCCAAATGAGGGGTCATATCAAATCCTCTTCCAAACCTTATGCCAAGGTAGGTGACCACCTCACTTGGGCGTACTCTCGTTCTTTGTATACATAGATTGATCCGTCTTTCTCTTTAGCAGGATCGCCTGGCTCTTTTATGCGGCCATTCGTAACTTCATCCTCTCACACCATTGCCCGACCAGGTTGGCGCACTGCTCTGCTTGCAGCTTTATTCCGGCTCTGCTGTTTGACGCTGCTACTGCCGCCAAGTCATCGACTTAAGTCGTAGCAGGGAACCGCTCATCTTCATGAGTAGATGTTTGTTAGTAGTATTACATCTTTGGCGGTTTCTTGAATTATAGTTTTAACTGAAACAAAGCCTATTGTTTCTGCTTGTTATTGAGATTCCCTCTCAAAAAAAAAAAAAATTAAAAGAAAGAAAAAGTATCCCCTACCCAAACATATTGCCAACATATAATTATTTAAAAAAATCAGAGGAAGAAGGAAGATGTGTGGAAGAGGGAGAGTGAGATAATTCGCCCCCAAAAACAAAAAAAAAAGTTACGCAAAGTTTCATCCTCCTATCTACCCAAACGTATTGCCATTTTTTCTTTTAAAAAAATTCAGAGGGTGGGATTAATTTCCCCTCTCCCCCAAAAAATAGTAAAACGAATTATCACCCACCTACTCATAACATATTGCCAAGAGGGGCATCGAAAATTGGGTATCGCCCAGAGTTTCTCATGATCCGTATATATTGAGTGCAAAATATTGAGTGTTTCAATAATATTGAAGGAACTTCAATAAAAAAAAATTGACATCAACCAGTTTGATTAAAGTCAATATCATTAATGCCAATGTAGCTCTTACACGGTCAATACATTGACAAAACTCGATATTGACTCAATAATATTGACCGTGCAAGGAGCTCTTAAGATTTTAGTATAGATAGTTCTATACTAAATCGGCCAAGAATCGGAAGCAAAAGGCTCGAGTTGCGGCTGGAACTTCACTTCTTTTTTCATCTATTTATTTACATTATATTTCAAAAAATGTATCCACATTGTTAATAGCAACAGAAAAATAATTTATTCACTTTATATTTCGGAAATATATTCACATTGTTACAAAAAACAGAAAAAATATATTTGTTTACGAAAATGTACATTAATTTAATTTTTTAAAAATTAAACGACGCGTCGGAGCTCCAGGAATGTTTTTACAACACTACAATAGTTTCAATAATCAATAACAAAATTAAAAAAACTTGTTTTTCATTGGTAAATCTTAAATCTCATCCGGTACCTCCGATGGTTAATGGTCCTTCTCAAATAATAGAGATCATTAGTAACATACAGATCTTTCCTTCCGATAGATCTTTCTTCGTCCGTCAGTGTCCTGAAATTTCTTCTATTCAATCAGCCCTAGCAGTTGTGCCTCAGGGGTCTGTACTCGCACCGTTGCTGTACACTATATACTCATACGGCGTACCAGACGCTCCCAATATCCTAACAGCAACATACCCAGGCGACAATACAATCACAACGAGACACCAAGACCCTACACAGGTCTCACTAACGCTACAACATGACTTATACAAACTTGAAGATTGGTGCAGGTTGTGGAAAATAAGGTTGAACGATGACAAATGCCGACACATTTACATTAAGACGGGAATCTTGCCCTCCCGTATGTTTCAATAACATACCATAACAATAAACAGACATGGTCAACTAGGGCTAACTATAGAAGACTGACTTGGGGTCCACGCATTCAGAAAAAAAAAATTCAAAATCAAAGAAGTAAACTGTTATACTTATTTACGCAGGCTACAATCAAAATTAATACTAAGACAGAAACTTGCTACCTACACATACTTACTAAAACCGATTTGGTGTTACGTTTCTCAAATTTTGGTTATGCTAACAAGACACACATACACACACTCCTAACATTTCAATTCAAAATGTTTAGACTTATTTCACAAGCACCTCGATACATTTCAAACACGACTTTACACACTGACCTTAGAATCCCCAAAGTCAGTTAATACGGACTCACTACAAAATATTCCATGATGATTTAAAGGGACATAACAATAAGCTTATAGTAAGAATGGCCACTACAAACATGCCTGAGAACAACAAGAGGAGACTGAAAATGTTGTGGATGAGAGACCTTCTGTAAATTCTATTTTGAATCTGAGATAATACCATGGAAAAGGTATTTTTCTTCTTCTTCATGCCTGAAATACCATTATTATTTTGTTACTAATCTTTCCAGACAATCCAGTGATTGTCAATTATGTATTAGACAGATGTGGATGTAAAAATAAAGTTATGAAAAAAAATCTTAAATATCAGAAACTTTCCAAGATTAACACTCTAACAAAGAAAACAACAGCTGTTCCTGACAAAATGGATGTATTCCACATATTTACAATTATCGATAAAATAACTTTAACATTTTTAGGATTACAACTCAAAGGATTTTATTACTTATGAATTAAAACGTACGGCGGAAATAAAGATGCACTATAGGGATAACCCAGCCCATATATGTCATCATAGTATTATCATGACCAATTACAAATGATTAGGTTTGTTTAAGTAAGCATATCATTAATATTTTTTTCTCCATAAATGAGGTTAATTTCTGTCAGTAGGTTGAAAACTTACAAAATTAAGATCGTCAATAACGATGATGTTTCAAATAAAATCATCTAGATTTACTGGAACAATAAATAATATTTTACGCTTGAGAAGAAATCCAGGAATGGTAGAAATCATAAGCAGGTGTAAAAATGAATCATCGGATCACAATGACGTGAGTACTTGATATTAATGTCATTAAGGCGCTTGTTAATTCCCTAAAATGGTCAGTTTATGCAAGAAGATAGGATCAGTTCATGGAATTTCATTGTGTGAATAGCTACTTACAATTCATTTTAGGACATTCGTTTAATGATAAGCTTCAATACGTAAATATACGAAGAACATTTAGTGAATTAAAAATTTTGTGTTGTATCTGAGTCAGCTGTCTCATTTTTCATTTTCTTTCTATCTCAAGCTTATCCATACTTGCAGTGTAGTACTTTGTGTATCCGCCTTCCCAAGATTCCTTGTGGTATAATTCCAAGGGTTGTGCTTCATCGTCCACATAGATTAAACCTTATCAGAACGTATATTCTCCAAGGATCACATCAGTAACAGACTGTTCTTGTCTATTGGTTCATCTTTTTTGCCTATGACTGCTCTCATTTTTCTACATCACGGTCAGCAGGAACAATACCTTTTTAGTTGTTTTTACTTGTTCTACTATGTTATAAGTTTGTTGCGGATTCGTCGAAAGAAACTGATGATATCTATCTAGGGTACAAGTTAGGAACAAATATCTACAAACATATACTCAACAAATTGATTAAATCTGTATTATTTTTTTTTTCAATTAACAAAATTAATTTAAGCTGAGATAGTTTAGGACAGAAAAAATATTTACTTTATCGAAAATATACAAAAATAACTGTTTAATATAAAAAATAATAATTTTATAACTAGGAAACATTTAAATACAACATAGCTTTGGATAACATTCAACATTCACTTATGAAGATGAATTAAATAAGGATTAGTGCCTTGTACTTGTGAGAGAATCCTTTTTGATATATAATAGATTTTTCACACTTCTCGTCTGTGGAAAATATCCTTTTAGTTCAACTGATTCAGCGTAATAATAATCTTGATCTTCAAAATACTAGAAGGAATAATATAGAAGGAAGTACAGTCCTGCCCAAAGGAGACGTTGATAGCCCTAAGTCTAGTATTACTCTTAAACACAAAAGATTTTTCTCCCCTTCCTTGCCTTTTAGGCTATACCGAGTTGATACACCGGACCAGAGAAAAGAGGAAGAGGGTGGGGGCTTATTGCCAGAGTTAAAAGTCCCTGAGGATTAACTCCTTAATCTTCTAATCAGTTTAACAGGTTGGCGGGCAACGGGTGTTTTACACAACACGTCAGCACGCTCGGCCACCCCGACCCACATTGTCATGATCAAATGGTGCTATGGTTCGTGCTTAACCTTGGAATCCTAACAGTTCATTTGCAACTGTCCTCGGCTACAATCCTCCTTCCCTAAACAACCTAAGAAGATTGTCACCCACATCCCGCTGCAAATTAATTCTATGAATACCTCTCTTTCTGGACATCTCTCCAGATCATAAACGGTTCTACGGAGGGGAGGGAGAGAGGCTTTCGGGCTGAATCCCCTATCCCCCCCAAAAAAGGTAAAATATAACCATGTCTTATGAAATAAATACTAAAACCTATCCCAAAAAGTATTGTTGTTTGTGAATTTACATTTAGTAGAATTTCAAGGATCATTTAAACACCATTTCATATACGTAATTAGTTAGTTTCTTTATTTTTCTCCCAAAGTAGTAATCATTATTTACAACAAACAAAAAAAAAAAACACCTTTCTGGCTAAAGTCTAGTGCTCCAGGTTCAATTAAAGAACCCTGCCACATTCCATACTTTGTGATATTCTCAGTCATCTTATTCTGCCTTTCCTTATGGTTGAAAATGTTGAATGTTTTTTATAAGCTCCTCAGTTCTTCATTTGTTTTAATCAAGAAAAGATCCTCTTCTTGGGAGATACCTAAAGGACCTCAGAACTTCGTTTACTTTTCCAATTGATTTTAGTTGTCGTGGACAGAGGTACCCTCAAGGGGGTTTTATGGCGCAAGTTGCACTATCAAAATTTTTGAGGAGGGCACATTTTTACTGAATTTTGATTTTCTGCGGGGGTCATATTTCGATAGGATTATGATTTTTCGGAGTGAAGTAGTTGCAATCCAGGGAATAAGGAGAAAAACGTGGATCAGACCACCGCAAGTGATTTGTATATGATATACGATTTTTCTAATTCTACTTTCGCTTGTACTGTTTCTAAAAAGAGGAGAGCAAATAATTTCTTGGGAGGGAGGGGAAAGTTTTTGTGGCATCGACCCTTGGTCGTGGACCTATAATAAATAACAATATTTTAATTTTTAAAAGCTGAAACAGTAAGTGATAAGTATTCTGTGGGAACCGTGGCATGTTGGAGGCTTTCGGCTAGTATTGCTACCCATCTCGAAAACTATACATTTTAGGAGCTTAAAAAGCAAAAGACTCGGCACGTTTAGAAGTAACTTTATGGAATCCTTAATCTGCCAGTTCTAACGGCCTTAACCGGCTGTATAGAGCGTAAACACAAAAATAAATTATTGCGAAAGGAGCATTAAATATTAAAAAATGATTGATTGAAAAATATAAAAAAAATGTAGAATTTATATTTTTATGTTAGAATCATTTCATAGTAAATAATTATTCTATCGTAATAAATAGCTTCTAGTAGAATTAATGTGAGTAAATTATGACAAATAATATTATATTATTATAATATTTATTACTTCATATTTATCCTTTGAAAGTAGTATATTTTTATTTCCATTTTTTGGAAAACCATTCACTACTCTCATTGCCAAAATTCCTATTATATATATGTATTTTATATATTACTACTTGACAAACAATTTGATGATAAATAGCGCAGCATACATTTTGTAGCTATGCAGACTTCACCGTCGACTTTTTTTTATTTTATTTTATTTATTTTTTATTTGAAAATTAATACATTCTGCCGCATTGGAGGGCATTAATATTAGGGCTACATTAAACATTCACACAATATATACATACAAATGATAACATAGGTAAAAAATAAAAAAAGAGGAAAGAAAAAAATAGAGAAAATCTAAATGAAATGAAAAACATATTCACACCTATATACAATATTTACATTCGCCCAGAGGATTCCAAGTCATGCTTTGTCCCCCAAATGTGGAAGCCAAGGCAGGACCCCAGGAGATCCCAGTGCTTTTCTCCCAGCCTTGTCACTGGTATTGCAAGCCAGTGGAGGCTGATGGAGGGCACTAGAACAACAGACGCTCAGGACATGAGTGGAGAATCTGGCCATTGCCAGTACTCCATTATACATATTTACAACAGATCGCGGGGCCACTGCCGTTTTAACCTCCGGGGAGGATTACAGCGATGGCTGGAGCTAGATAGGGATTGTGCTACAGGATTTGAATGATGAGTGGGTTTCTGGTGAAATTTGGAAAATTTGTCTGGGATCAGGTCAATAACAAATGGGATATGAAGGTGATTATGGAGGGTTTTGTTGGATACATATAAGCGAGCATCGACTATTGTTCGGAGGACTTTAGACTGGAAGGATTGAATGCGCTTAATGTTAGAAGGTTTTGTTGAGCCCCACAGCTCTAGTCCGTAGGTCCAAATAGATTTCAGGATTGTCTTGTAGATTAATAGTTTGTTGTTGAATGAAAGTTGAGATTTTCTATTCATTAGTCTATATAGCTGTCCGAATCGTCTGTTTAGTTGTTGTCTTTTAAGTCTGGTATGTGGGTTCCACGTTAGTCTTTTATCTAGAAGAAAGCCAAGATACCGGACTGTGTCTGAGAGAGGAAGTGGTATGGATTTGAAGTAGACTGGAGGACAGGACTTGCGCCGAAGCGTAAAAGTTATGTGTTTGGATTTGGATTCATTTACTTTGATGCGCCACTTATTACACTAATGTTCAATAAGAGAAAGGTGACTTTGTAGGTTTGAGGATGCTGTTTTAGGATCTAGATTGGAAGATAGGATAGCTGTGTCATGAGCGAATGTTGCCAGGAGGGTTTCGGGGATATCAGCGGTAAACAGAATGTAGAGGACGGGACCCAAGACGCTGCCTTGAGGAACTCCCGTCTCAATTGAATGGCAGTTATAGAATTCTGTACCACAACGAACTCGAAAGCAGCGGTCGCAGTATTAGATATAAGGACTGGGGTAAGTGGGTTTTGAGCTTGAAGAGTAGTCCGGTGTGGCATACGCGGTTGAAAGCTTGCTCAATGTCCAGGAATGCTCCCGTGCAATACTCTTTGCTTTCAAAGGCTGAGGATATGTGGTCAACAATTCGGAGTCCTTGTTGAACGGTGGAATGCTGGAAACGAAATCGGAATTGATGGGTAGGAAGGTTTTGTGATTCTATTATGGGTAGGATTCTTTTTAATAGGATATTTTCAAATATTTTTTAAAGGATTGGGGGTAGGCTGATTGGTCTATAGGATGATGTTTTATTGGAAGGTTTGGCTGGTTTCAGAAAAAGGACGATGGTGGAATGTTTCGATAAGAGAGGAAAATGGGTAGTTCTTAGGATGCAGTTGCATATATATGTGAGGAATATGATCGCTTTGGGTGGTAGTTGATGAAGGATCTGTGTGGTTAGAAGGTCGTATCCAGGAGATTTCCGGGAAGATAACTTTTGTAAATGATTTTTGACCTCAGAAGGATGAACTGCTTTTGGTGGTAGGGAAAGTGGAATTGGTGAGGAGAGGAATTTTTCTACTTCTGTTGTATGGAAGGAATGAGATTCAGGATGAGGAGTAAATGTACAGAAGAGGTGTTGGACGAATTCCTCAGCTTTGTCTTCATCAGACGCCGCCCAGGAGCCATCCCCTCGACGGAGGGTATGGGAAATATTTTGGGATTTTAGAAGTTTTTTAGTGATATTCCAGAGGGAATTACCGTCGACTTTAGATACACAACTTGAAAGCTCAAATAGAGCTCGCTAATTATATATTTTTTCATTCTAAATCGAATGAAACCAATAGTAAGGGGATAGAATAATGTGTTATTATTATGACTACTGCAGAACAAAATTAAAATTGATAATTCAAGCCAACAATCATGACAAACAAGTTTAAAAAGAAATGAAAACCTGTGATAAATAATTACATTTATTTAAAAATAAATAATAAAAAAATAAGCATAAAAGTTATTTTAAACTGGTATTCTGCGTTGATCTCGTATTTAAATTAATAATATATATACATATATATATATATATTTTTTTTTCCCAAATTGATTACATTTCCAGAGTATGTGGATTGAGAACAGAGAAGTCGGCATTTGGGGAAATGCAGAGGAAATTTTCTCCTCCCCTAACAATGTAAAAACCCAAAAAATTGGGAAGTCTGAGAGGCGATACCAAACTGTGAAATATAAGGTAAAACATTTTACTATGAGAGTTACTACAGTTTAAAACAAATATTAATCCTTTTTAAGCCAATAAATCGAGATTTAAATGATATAATTCGTACAGTAACACAATGGACTTAGTCCGTAACCAATTATAATAATAACATTAATTTTATCCCCATTTAAACAATTGATCTTATTAAATGTACTAATTGGTGAATCATTTATTGACAATAACGAAAATTCGAAGGACAAGGCTACCCCTGATGGCTTAGATCTGGTTATCTAAAAGCACCGACAGAAAACATTAAAACCGCTTACCGCGATTTAAGGAACAATAACAAATTTCGGAAAAGGCCCCTTTCCCATAGAACTCATATTATTATTTATTATCGTTAATTCCGTGATCGTAAGGAGAAATCACTCGTGCAGTTACATGCTTGAAATTACACTCTTGCCATGAGTCCTAGATTTATGGTTTTATAGTCATATTCTTTTAGGAGACCTGGAATTAATTCTTGTTGCCAACCCATATATTCAAACTATAATACAGCATAGACGATGCCGTGTGTAATAGACATTATAAATAAAATTGTTGAGACGGGGTGGCCGAATGGGCTAAAGGGTGTGCACAGCACCGCGAGTTGCCCGGCAACCAGATATATGAAGTTTTGAGAGACAAAAATAAGTACGAGTTCGCGTCCCGGTGCCGGAGGGGATTTGAAATTCCCCGGCCCGGGAAAATCCCGTATAGCCTAAACGGTGAGGTAGGGATAATAAAAAAAAAAAATTTGTTTCTTTTAAAGTCTTCTCTACGATTCGTTGGTTGTACAATGCTTTTCTTGCATTATAAAATATGCATGTGAATGTTTGCTAGAAAAATAAATTAAAAGTGGTTTAAGAAAGTTTATAAAAATTTATCATAGATTAGATATCCAGTTTATTTAGTGGAATAGTGAAGAAAAGGAAATGGAGGGATGACCTAGTGCGATAAATAAGACGGTACTTATGATTGAGATCATAGGTATCGTAAATTCAATTTTTCCGATTTTCTGCCATTTAGGGATCATCTATCCTATTGTTATGAGTTGTTGAATAAATAGTGAAATTTCTGTAATTTTGGAATTCCTAAGGTTACAAACAATCGCCTGTCTGAAGCCAAGCCATGCCATCTAAACGTTTTGTTACAAAGCAACGCTGATTATTGCGTCATTCATTTGTAAAAACTAACAAATAAACGTTCTCGAAAAAGTAAAGAAACTAATTCAAATTCAACCAAAGCGAACTATACTATTCTTCTTCTTCGTTCTTCTCTCTATATAGCTATGTAAGGGAGTAAAAAAAAAAACAAAGTTAGTGGTCCTCCGGACTTGCGAACAGCTTGATCCCAAGGTCCTGTTCCCGGCGAGATTCCCCAAGAGAAACACCTCTCACCATAATATTCTTTCCATTTGTAGCCGTTTTGTGAAGAACTATAGAAATATTGCTTTAATTTTTCAGAATGGGAAAACCTATCTAAACCCCGAATAAAAAATTGAAAAAGTTAGATGCAAAAGTATTTTGCTTCTACCAATTATTTACACGTAGTAACTAAAATTGTCTAGTATTAGTAACTATTTTGCCGTAGTTTTTATTAACAAAAACTGTTTTTATTTCTACCAGATTCGATATAGACCGATTTCGGGCAACATTGTGCATGAATAGGATCTTTAACTTCAGGAACTTTTACCTTTCATTACTGGGACGTTATGAGAAATGTGGCATTTTAGCTTTGTGTCAAGCCTGTTTTTTAAACTATTTTTACTTAAACTATGTTTATATAAACGTGATTAAAGTACAAACTACTTAGGCGTAAATGAATAATTAACGTTAGTCCAGGTGGAAAAGTCACTAATTACTCACCACTACGTTCAGTAACTTACACAGCAAACAATCTTTTTGAACGCATAAACAAAATACTGTTATTAATTTTAAATGAGCTATTTCATCACAGAAGTTATGTTTTGATACCTACTATCGAATAGTATTTGTCACATTATGTATCCTAGCTAGTTGTATATTTTCAGTTATATTTACATTGTGCTTTGATTTTTACATTATTATGAAAATTAAAACCAACGAACTATAATGCTTTACTAGATTTAATTCCTTTTATCTTTATCATCGATATAGATGGTAATTCAAAGACAAAAAAATTATTTTTCTCTTACTGAAGCTTAAAAATTATTTAATAAAAATATCTTCAAATATAGCTAATTTTTAGTGAAAACGCTATTTAGCTTGTACTTTGAGGGTTGAATCGGGAGAAAATGAAGGAAAGGAAACAATACCTTAAAAGCGTAATAGGAATACTTTCATTCGAAGGATTTTATCCCCCTCAGCTCGAATATGGGCGACATTCACTCTCTTAAAACATAAAACAAATTGGCTAACTAATTTGGAGACTTGCTGTATCAAGTAAGGGATTGCTAAGCTAAACTTAAAAAATAAATAAAAAATAAGAGTTTTAAAACATTAGTCTATCCGCTAAATAACAAGTTGAACTTTATTTTTTCACTGTGCTGCTATTCTGCAGTGAACCAAAATCGTGTTCAATTAGAGCGGATAATTTATTTTGTTGCATCAGATGTAGTTTTTTAAAGTTTTAAGTATGTCTCTCTTTATTGGCTTCCGCCATCAGAGATCTAGCAGCCCAGTACCATTCCAATTTGGAGGACGTGGTATCTCTTATGTTCACCAAGCGCGAGCATACACTTAAATGCGCAGCGTCCATATGTGATCCCGAATAACATAGGTTACGATGTGAACATTTTGCCACTCCTATTCTATGCAGGTACTTCCTAAGGTAGTCGTGGACTGTTATTATCCGGAACTCTGCCACAGCCTCCTTTCTCGGCAGGATCATGGGAACTCGATTCGCTTCATTAAACAATTTTCTCAAATGCTTTTCAACAATACAGCTCTTTAAGGAATCCAGTAGTAGAGTCTCACTTGCTTTATTTATTTCTTTTTTGGCTCAATGATATGATATTCTATTTTCTGGCTGGTTCAATGTGGAGCCCTCCTTCGCGATCTTATCAGCCATTTCGTTTCCATGGAGACCACAGTGACTTGGTATCCATTTAAATGATACCCTGTTCCTTGAAGAAGTAGTTCCACTATGATTCTCTATGGTCGATTATTTCTTCGTGAGACACTCCAGGGGCCTGGAGCACCAGAGAAAATAGAAGCGGAGTTTCTGGAATGCGTAAACACCTGTTACAGAGTTATAGAAGTCATTCAAAGTATTAAACCTTTAGTTGCTCTTGAGGTAACAGAATGCCAAGAACCTTTCTCATTTTGAAAGATTTATATTTGAAATATTTACACCAAATGAAAAAAAAAATATTAACAAAGAAAGTGCGTCTCTTAATATAAATGTTAGAGCTGGTTTTTATAAATAGATAGAATTATTAATTATTTATGTACCTCTTAGCATCACTGGCGTATAACATACCAATTTTATTTTCTACTAGCTATACGCGTTGCTGTGCCTCATTATGCTTACATAAAAAAGAAGTAGAAAATAAATGAGATGTTTCTAATATATTTTATGTAGCAATACTTGTGAACATACAATATTCTTCGTTGTTTCATTCTTTGTATAGATATAGAGATTGTCTGGTTTTCCAACTTTAGTGATTTTTGTTCAATTTTTTTTATTTGTAGGGAATCAAAGAAGCTTTCACATAATGATAGGTATAATCAAACAAAAAGTGTGTACATTTTGAGTTATTCTCAAATATAGTTTTGAACCCATCGTAATTTTTTTACATATTCTTTTCGGAAAAGTATGTTAAATACATAAATTAAAAGTGCTTCAAGGAGAAGACTTTAGCCAGGTTTAATTAAAATCGTTACAGCCGTTTAGGTGCTATAGTCTATATCGACACAGGTTTTTGGGCCACCATTTCGAAACGAAAAACTTGAGAGTGATTAAATATATATAAAAACATAATGTCAATATTTCAAAGCGATCGGTGAAGAAGTTTCGGATTGCATGATTTTGAAAGCGGACTGTGTGGATGTGCAAGAAAGCTTTTTTTTTTTATGGCGGTTATTTATCCTGTGAAGATAGAGCACTCCCTTGGAAGCTTTTAGAGGAGTTCCTCGCATTCAGTGACGACTGGCCATCCCATGTCATTTGTGGCCTTTGAAGCATTCCTGTACAGAATTTTGTTATTTAGTACATTTGAAAGTTGTTATACTTGTTTAATAATTCTAAAAAATATGTATATATTCTTTTGCATCCAAAACTATCATGTTTTGGGAGATGAGGAACATTGATTTATCTGTAAGTGTATTTGGATGTCTCCAACTTGGAAAGTCGTTATCTAAAATCTTTCGAATCCAATTTAGACTTATGCTTAAGACGACAACTGTTTGGAACATTTTTTGCTTAAAACTGTTATTCGAGAAGGTTTTGGAAGCAAATATGATGTTTCTTAAGGGATGTCGCCGAATGTCGCCGATTTTGCTTAAGTTGAATCCATATTGGCTCTATATTGTATCAGCTTCTTGCATCGAGGGATGGTTTAGCACATTCTATCTGTCATTCACCATAATCCATTTATTTAGCTTCGGATCATAGATTTTTATACCTTTAATGTACTGCTTCTAACAGTTCGCCAAGTACAATGGTAAAGAGCCTTTCGGAGAACAAGCCTTTTTTAACATTCTTGTTTAAGACTTTTAATGTGGTCAGTCTATTTTAAGCCTTTATCCAGTTGGACGGCTAGGTATTTTTGGTGATCTACAGGCGAATAGTAACAGCTAAGTTATAATTATCTTATTAAAAAGAAATAAATATCCATAAAATAATTAGTAGTAAAATAAATATGTTGCGACAAATTTGGCATTTTTATTTGAACATATTCTAATAATGTGTTTAGGTTTGCCTTAGAATACCAAATCCTACCATTATTTTATCTATTTTAATAAATAATAAAATGCTAAGTTTTTAGTAATTGGACTTGGCCTCCGGGGCGCAGGTATGTTTAGTACAATTAAACAAAATGCATATTTTGACTATGTTTTATGTTAGTTTAATATATTTGCATACTTAGGATGAAGATGAACATAACATGAGAGTGAAAGTTTTAACAAAACAACATCTTTATCCAACTTATATGCAATACATTTCCACTTTGGACGTCAATTCTAATATAAAATATACCAAAAAAGCTGGAATCATTTGTACTATAGGTAAGATGAATTATATTTAATTTACATAATTATTTTTGTCGATGAATACCTTTGTAACAGTACATTTATTTAACAAAAATATATAAAGAATTTAAATTATTTTTTAAAACATGGTCACTGCAGTTCTGTGAAATATATTTCATAATTCCAAATAAGACTGAACGTAAAAGTAAGAGTAATAATTGGCGATTAGAGTAATAATTCGTTGAAAAATGTTGCAAATGTTATTTTTTATATTTGTTTTATTATTATTTTTCTATCGACTTTTCAACTCCTTTGCCTATCTTGTTATCCATACCAATTCGCGACATGTGTCTCGTGATATATCGGTTTTTTTGTTTTGCCTACCCAACTAGTGTTAGGTCCACCACCTGGAGACATCTTATACTACTTGCTACATCTCGAAGATTAAGTTCTCAGAGCAGAGGTATCCAAAATACGGCCCGCGGGTCGGGTCCGGCACTTTTAATCCGGCTCGCGAAAGATTTTTGGATTAAATGGTAAATTTTAAAAACTATTCAAAAATGTAAAATTTAGCAAATTACTCACACTTTTATCTCTTAGAATGTAGCTCATTCCACAGCGTCAAGTATCATTTAAATAACACTTTTTTTTTTTCATCACAAGCCATGTCCCGCTGGACTTAGTTGAAAATCTCAATGCGGTCCACGGGACTTAGTCAACGTCTCAATAGTAGCCCGGTAGCGAGCACGCAAAAAGTTTGGATACCCCTGTTCAAGAAGATCAGGATTTTTGGGAAATCTGGGAGATATGGTTAGTCCAGGAGAGGTTCTGGTCAAAGGTTACTCCTAGGTTTTTGACTGTAGGGAAAAAAAGGATGGGACGGTTATTGAGGTTAAGTAGAGGAAAGTAAGGAAGGGAGCTAATGAGATATCTGGACCCGATGATGATAGCCTTGGTTTTATCTGCATTAAGCTATAATTAATTTATTTCTGCCCATTTGTTGATGCAGTCGATGTCCTCTTGCAGCCTTCGGGCAGTCTCAGGCATCTCAGAAGGTTGGAATGATAGGTATATTTGGAAATAATCGGCATATAGGTGGTAACTGGAGTGTTGAATGGCGTTAGGAAGGTCACCAATATAGATAGAGAAAAGGGTTGGGGAGAGTAAGGAACCCTGAGGAACACCTCGCGTTAATTGAAGGGGTGATGATGAAGGTTCGTTCGGAATTGTAACTGTCTGAGATCGATTGGATAAGAAGGAGACGAACCATTTTAGGACGCTATTTGATATGGGCAGGCTTTGGAGTTTGGAAAGAAGGATCTCATGATTAACGGAATTCAACGCTTTAGGAAAGTCAAAAAGAATTAGGATGGAGATTTTCTGTTTATCTATGGCGGATCGGAGGTCTTGGGTAATCCTTAGCAAAGCAGACTGGGTGGAATACTTTGAACGGAAACCAAATTGTAAAGGATTCAGGAGATGGTTTTGCTCGAGAAAGCTGTTTAACTGAGAGTGAACTAATCTTTTTAGAGGCATGGATAGATTGGATAGAATGGAAATGGGTCTGAAGTCGGAAGCTGATGAAGGAGTTGGAATTTTGTTCAGTGGACGGACTATGGCTCTTTTCCAGGATTTGGGAAAAATGGAATTGCTGTACAAACTCCGAAAATTCCCACAAGCTACATACTTTCCCATTATACGTCTCTGCCTTACTGATAGATACTTTGAAGTAAATCACAAAAACGCTTAATCATCCACCTTTTCGCAGTCCGTTGGTTTTCCTCAAGGTAGTATCCTAGGTCCTACCCTCTATACAGTTTATATAGCTGACATCCCAACCTGTCCCAGCACTGTCATTACTATGTATGCCGATGACACTTGTATGTTATCAGTAAATAATGACCCATTAATCCCAAATGCTTCAATCACACATCATAAACCTTTAAAAATGTTGTCAAAACTGGAGAATTAAAATAAATTCCAATAAATCCCACCAAATTACGTTTACTCTTTGGTTCGTAAACCTATGACTTCCTGTCCTACAGTATCCTTCAACAATAGTCCACTTATCCCTATTGAACAAATCCGTTATCTAGGACTCCACCTGGACAAAAATCTAACTTGGAATCCTCATCACAGACATAAACGACAAGAAACCGCTCGATGTTTCCGATTACTTCAGAACTTACTAGACAAACGTTCTAACCTCCAATTAATTACAAAAGACCACGGGCGGATCTACGGGAGGGGAGGGGGCTTTCGGGCTGAAGGCCCCCCCAGACTGGTAAAATATAACCATGTTTTATGGAAAAAAAAAAAAAAAAATTATCTCTTAAAGTATTATTGTTCGTGTAATTACATTTAAAAGGACTTAAGGAATCACTTAAACACCATTTCATATAGATTGCTAGTTTCTTTCTTTTTTTCCAAAGTAAATATCGTCATTTTTATGAAAAAAAAAAAAAGCTTTCGGGCTGAAGCCCTCCGCAAAATTAGATCCTGGATCCGCTAGTGCAAAAGACTCATATACATCACTATAATAAGGTCTATTTGGACTTACGGTGATGAGCTATAGGGCTCCACTGAACCATCGAATTCCTCTCGTATCCAATCCTTACAATCCGAAATCATTCATAAAATTCTAAATGCTCTCCACTTCGTTACAAATGAAATCATCCGTAATGACCTTAATGTTCCTTATATTTCAAATTTTGCCCAATCCAGATACCTATTCTTCCATTATAAACTTCAGAATCATCCCAACCCTCTCGTTTCTATCCTTGCTTCCTCTTCAATTCCAGATAACCCTCCGAGGCGTCTGAAAAGAACATGGCCCCATGATTTTCTAATGTAGACATATTATTAGAGTGCTATCATTGAGTAGTTTCTCAACAAATGTTTTCACGTCATTATATCCATTTATACAAATTCACTAGATGTATTAAAGAAATACAGTTGTAAATATGATTAAGAAATAAGAAAAAAAAAGGTTTTAATGACGTAATATTAGTAGTTATGATAGTAATAATTGAGTAGTTATGTGATTGTTGGTTTGTTACAGTGGTAGGCGGAAGTGCGTTTGTAGGAGAGGTGGACGATGTTTCAGAGATAACACAGTTACATACTCATATTTTTTGAGTACAAAGGATTTATATTTCAGGTCCCGCATCAAGAAGTGTCGATATCCTCGTGAAAATGATGGACGCAGGAATGGATATGGCTCGTTTGAATTTCTCTCACGGAACACACGATTTTCACAGGGAATCGATTGTAAATATCAGAAAAGCTGTTGAGATTCGTTCTAAACGAGCAGGAAGACCTTTACCAATTGCAATAGCATTAGATACAAAAGGACCAGAAGTTCGAACAGGTCTAATAGCAGAGGTATATCCGAAACTATACTTATTAACGTATACTTATTAAATTATTTTATACTCATTTAATGCAAGTATTTTGACCAATGGAGAAAATTTACCAAAGGCGAAATGATTCTATGCAAGCTGATGTAACTTTTTAGATTTCATTTTATATCCTAAACCTGGCCGCAGTATAACTTTCATGTCGCTCTGTATTTGTTGCTTTGTAATGTGCTCAAAATTCAAAGTTGTGGTGTAATACTTAATCAACAGTGAGTTAATAAACAGTTTTACACTTTTACGTTGACGTACACGCAGGTGAGGTACTATTTATTAACAATAAACAATTGATAAATTGGTGCTCATCTGGTTAGATCGAGAGGCCGTTAATTCCCTTACTTGCCTTATCATACTCCGATAAGCTCACTTCTTTCAGTCATCAGGTCTTCAGTTCGAACCCAAGACATTATATTTACGTTTCTTTTTTCTTTTCCAGAGACTGTTTTATTTTTATTTAAATATTTATTCTAAGAAATGTTTTATTTTATTTCTGATTATAGTTATGTATATAGTTTATTTCGTAATCTTCAATCTTTTTAATTGTCATATTTAGGAGTACATATATTTCTTTTTTTTTCTCTCTTTTATCATAATATGGAAGATATGAATTTAGATAAGAGTTCGTCAGGTGAAGATTCGGAGGACGAAACGCCGTTTTCTGAGGTTAGCGAAACAGATTCGCAGTATTTAAAAAGACGAACACTTCAGAAACGTCATCGAAACACTCCTCCTGGATCGGGAGCTAATTCACCCAATAAGAAAAAAAATAAATCAGCTAAACCTAAACAGTTAGCAGAGCAAAATAAATCTACAAAGTCAACTGAACAAAGTAAATCTACTAAAACTAAACAATCAGCCGAGCAAAATATATCACCACCTCAAACCAGAAGCAAATCAATTACCATAACATCAGAGCCAACTGCACCAACCACCACTAACACCAATAACCCTGTTCCCGTTAGTAATATATCAAGCAAGATTCCGGAGCCTCAAGAGTTTTCTGAGCCCGAGCCCCCACCTATTTTCATATTAAAAGTCGATAACTTCATTACATTTGGTCAAGAAATTGCCGGTCTGATTGGACAGACCAATTTCCGCTGTTTCTCCAGAGTTAATGATATCAAAATAAACACAAACTCTCGAGAAAATTACAAAACACTTATAAATTACTTTACGTCCAAAAACTATGATTTTCATTGTTATCAATTAAGACAAGAAAAGCCATACCGAGTGGTGTTAAGAGGACTACACTCAAGCACCCCAGTATCTTTCATCAAAAGTGGCCTAGAAGAAATAGGTCATAATGTTAGGCACATATCATGCGTACTACACCCAACGGAAAAATATCCTTTACCACTATTTTTCGTCGATTTAGAGCCTGCCAGCAATAACATCAAAATTTTTCAAGTGAAGAGGCTTATATATTCCACCATTAAATTTGAAGAGCCTAGACAAAAGCCTATAATAGTGCAATGCACTAAGTGCCAAGACTTGGGACATACAAAGACTTATTGCCATCACCAGGCCAGGTGCGTGAAATGTGCCGGCCCCCACGCATCTGACACTTGTCAGAGACCTCGAGACCTGCCTGTGAAATGTGCCCTTTGTGGTGAAGAACATCCAGCAAACTACAAAGGATGCAAAGTTTATAAACATTTTTATAAGCAGAGAGCTCAGAACATTGCCTCGAAAAGCGTAAAACTGAACCAAGAAAGTGTCACCCATCTACCTGAAATTGATAATCTGTCAAATTTTCCTGTATTGCCAAAAACGTCTACTCAAAATACACAGCTAGCGTCTACTTCAAAAGAAATTGATCAACCTCAGCAGGACTTTAGAAGAACACCAATCACCATGAAGAAGCAGCACCCTCAAATTCAGGCACCTCAAATCTCCCAATGCAAACCTCAATCTCACAATCCCCAATCTCATCCTCCACGTCAGCAAATTCTCCCTCATCATATACCCTTACGAGTCAAATTACCACCGCAGCATCCTCAACAGTCCCATCCTAACGCCCAGAAAAAAAGTGCAGCACAAGTACCTTCCAATCTAGACCCACCTCGTGCACAATGACGGATCCCGCCCTCAGCTAACACTCCTAATTCACCACAAGAACCTATCCTGAATCCAATTCACAATCAACATCCATCTGACCTAACCTCCATTCTGTCATCTTTCCTATTGGACCTGCAAAATACTATAAAACCACTTATCACTCTTTTCACCAGAATCCTGACCGAAATTCCACCCAATTTCCCACGATGAGCACAAAGCTCCTAACTATCCTTTTATGGAATGCTAACGGACTAAATAACCACCGTGACGAACTTGACTTATTTCTTCATAATAATAACATTGGCATTGCTTTACAGACTGAAACTCACTTCACTAAACGAATACATTTCTACATACGTGACTACTTCACTTATAGAACTGATCACCCAGACAACACCTCCCATGCCGGTTCTTGCATCCTTATACATAAATCATTACCCCATTCCCTTATTCCTTCCACTCCAACTGATGCCATTCAATCAACTTCTGTAGTCCTTTCAACTCGCCCTTTCCATTTCACATTCTCAGCTGTATACTGTCCTCCTGGTAATTCCCTCTCCTATAACCTCCTTGATTCCTTATTCAAATCCCTCGGATCGCGCTTCATTGCTGGAGGAGACTACAATGCTAAACACCAACGATGGGGTTGTCGAACATCCAACCCCCGCGGTAACATCCTATCACGTGTTTCATCTTCCAACAATTATTCAATCCTTTCGTCCATGAGTCCTACTTATTGGCCAACATCCCTCAAAAAACGTCCCGATATCCTAGATATATTTATAACTCAGATCTCCTTCTCACAAACCATAATCAAATCCTTGATGACCTTTCTTCAGACCATAGTCCAGTTCTACTTTCACTACATTCGAGCTATGCTCCTAAACCATCACCTCCTAAATTGATTACAGGACGAGTGAACTGAGACCGATTTCGTGATGATTTGGAAAACAAACTAGACTTAAAAATTCCGCTAAAGACAAACTCCGTAAATTCCTACACCCTACATACTTCCTCATTATCCGTTTCTATCTAACTGATAGATCCTTCAAAGTAAATCATAATAATGCCTATTCATCCCTTTTTTCCCAGTACGCTGGTGTTCCTCAAGGTAGTATCCTTGGTCCTATCCTTTACACAGTTTATACAGCTGATATCCCAACCCATCCTAACACTGTCATTACCACGTATACCGATGATACACGTGTCCTATCAATCAATAACGACCCAACAATTGCATCCCAAACCCTTCAATCACACATCACAAACCTTGAAGAATAGTTTCAAAACTGGAGGATCAAAATAAATTCCAGTAAATCCCATCAAATCACCTTTACCCTTCGTCGTAAACCTATGTCCTCTTGTCCTACAGTATACTTTAATAATACCCCACTTATCCCTGTTGAACAAATTCGATACCTTGGACTCCACTTAGACAAACGTCTAACTTGGAATCCTCATACCAGACTGAAACGACAAGAAACAGCTCGACGCTTTCGACTACTCCAGCACTTACTAGACAAACGCTCTAAGCTCCCAGTCAATTACAAAAGACTCATATACATGACTACAATAAGACCTATTTGGACTTACGGAATTAAGCTCTGGAGCTCCACTAAGCCATCGAATTCCTCTCGTATACAATCCTTACAATCCAAAATCGTTCGTGAAATCCTCACAGCTCCTTACTTTGTCACAAACAAAATCATCCATAACGACCTTAATGTTCCTTATGTTTCTGACCTGGCTCAATCCAGATACCTTTCCTTCCATTATAAACTTCAGAACCATCCTAACTCTCTCGTTTCTAACCTTGCTTCCTTTTCGATCCCTGACAACCCTCCGAGGCGTCTGAAAAGAAGAATGCCTCGAGATCTCCTTTTGTAAATACATTTTTAGAGTGCTACCAGTGGGTAGTTTCTCAACAAATGATTTCATGCTATTATATTCTTTTGTTCACATTTACTGAATGTATTTTTACTTGTAATAAAGTTGTAAATATAATCAATAAAAAAAAAAAAAAAAATATCCTAAACCAGTGATCGGCCAATATAACACGATTTGGCTCAGTAATCCGTAAAGCTTTTCTAAAGAGCGTTGCAAATCACACTTATTTTACTATTCGCGAAAAAAACAGCAGTTGTTTTAAACTATTTAACATCCACGCTTTATTTTCGAAATGGCTTGTTCGATTTAGGGATTTAAAGTTAGGGATCGTTGAATAAACAATTCAGATTTCCGTTCTCTTGTTTTCCTTATATATTTGGAAACGCAGTTTTCTTGCGACGCCCTTATTTCAAAAATCACTCCTTCAATTTGGACAAAGTTGGTATTAATTGCCTCCAATTCCATTCGCTACTTTCAAAAAATAATTTGGCTTTCGCGTCATGCTCACGTATTGTTCTGAATACGCCTATATTTTGAAAACGAATTGTTAGATTTGACACAAATTCGGAAGATAGTATATGAATGGAAAAAAATCAATTTCAACATATTCCGTTAGACAATTAAAATTAATTGAACTACTTGTCAACAATATAATGGCTTATGAATTTGGTAATCAGTGAGGTTAAAACGAAATTATAGGTGCTTTTCCTTCGTTGTTATTTCACTTGTACTTTTGTCACTTTCATTTTTACAGTAACAATGTTTTAATTTCATTTCAGATTTTTTTTTCTTAATAAGAGTTATAATATTTCTTAAAGAAAGAATGGTACTAGTTCCCTTTGCTGGTCCAAAATGGCGCCTGGTTTCATGATCAATCAGATCCCGAAAAAACCCGAATGTTCGGAAGAAGATGGAGCCTACCGATTCCAACTCTAGACCAGTAAATTAATCGCCATTTTAACAGCGACATTTTAATTCAGTTATAATAGTCAATAATAATCATTAATTATTAAAATAAGCCTGATGAATGCCGAAAGTAGCCGAGTATTGTCAATCTTGCTTACATCCGAAACAGCTGTTTCACTTAGACGTAACGTTCAGTGTTCCGTTTGTACGATGACCCTCGTATTTGTAGGAGCTACGAGTATCGACCAGCCTTATACATCGTACATTACTTTTTCTGACGTATGCAAAGTTGTATTTTTATGAATGAAGTTTAGATTTTTTTCAATTATTTTTACTGTGTTATTATTTATATTAATATGTAATACCTATCTTCTGTTGCTTTATAGACAATTATATCTTGTCTAATTGGAGTATGATTATTATTTTATTCATAAAATCGCGATTGCATTTACATGTTTTTTTTTTTTTAATTTTCTAGAAAGCAAAATTTATAAAAATAAAATTGTTTCCGTCATTTTAAAAAAATATTTACGATTTTTATGTAGTATAAAATAAAATATAAGAAAGTATATTCATTATTTCCTTAATAAAACTACGATTGCTACGTAATTCATTTAAACATTTCCAAGTCAGTAAAATAAAAATTCAATAATAATATATTAATATTTATTAATTTCAATTATTCTATTTAGGAAAAGTACTGTTTCTTGGTCAACGGTTGTGTCGAGATCACGCTCAACCACCAGGTTTTCCCCCTTAATCAATTATTTAATTAAGGTTGCTCATTTTATAGAGGCTGAGAGTGCCGCGACTGATGGAACAGAATAAATAATTTATCTGCCATAAGCCAGGGTTCGAACCTGGGATCTTAAGCATTAGAAGCTCAGCGCCCTACCCCATTCCTTATAATGATAAAATATGTATATAAAAATACACATAACAAAATGATATGATACTGAAAAAAATGTCATTAATTGAAGATTCATAGCTCGGCACATTGGTCGGAAAAGGCATCAAAAACGGCAAAAACCCTGGAAAACTTTCAATTTAAGCAGAATATTTGAAAAATGGAATTTACTATGGCATGGGGGACATTCTGAATTAATATACTATAAAACCATTTTGGTACGACTAAACGTTATTATTATTACTTTTTTTTTCAAAAATATATTTTGCATATAACATATTGTAAAAATGAGAATTTATTGTAGAAGGTTGTTGACCGAATCAATTATAAATATCTATTACCTATATTACTACCAAGAAGACATATTGGTAGAGTTGTATGAGAAGAAGAGCAAATCAACCTGCAACTAAATGAAGATAAAACTAAATGCATAGTAGTGAGTTGAAAACAATACCCCTGTATCAATTATGCGTAACAAAATTGTTTGAATTTATCTTCAATCTTTTCCTTCGAATTTTCTTTTAGTTATTTTGTTCCATACTTTTCCTCTATTTTTCTATGACGGAAAGGAATAAATTATATTAGGTATAAATTTATTTAGATACAGGTAGGAATTTTTCATGACTGAATTTGACAGATAACTACCAAAACCTCAAATTATCTTATCTGATTTTTGTATTCATCATTAGCGTAGAGTCAAAGAACATTTTAATTACAGTAAGACCTTAGTGATCGTTGGCGCGAGGTACTTACTGATGGAAAACGAAATTCCAAGAGCCGTTGAGTGATTACTTATCCAATGAAAATACGAAGTGTTTGCATTTATTAAGAAATAACCTATCTAAGAGTTTACTTGACTCATTTCAATATATTGCACAACAAAACATTATTTTGAGAATTTAGCAAAAATGCTTAAATATATTTAATGATTTAAGTGTCAGATATTTATGACAAGTTTCATGATTAATGTGACAGAAACAGGCTTTTATTTATATTTCATTGAAAATCTTGGAAACTGGTAATTTTATTCGCGGTTAAACTTTAGGAATATGTGAGTTAACTATGCCAGACATCAAAAACATTGAAAATAGGGGTTTTTGCAACTCTGAGACCACTGTGCGCAGTCATTATTAACATGACTATGTCCCACTAAATGTTGTTATTTTAATCATTATTGCCGATGAATTACTGTTCCAAATAATAACAGAATAACTAAACCGGTCGCCATCTTGCAGTAGCGAATGGGAACCAGTGCCGAAATAGTTGCTATTATACACTTACCCTAATAATATAGAAATTTATCTCTAAAGCCTAATCCACACTAGTAGACATGTTGCGCGATTTTTGTCTCAGTTTGTCTACGTGGACATGTCTATAGACCGATCCGCGTCTACAGGCCTGTTGCGAGACAAAAATCACAGGTCTAAAGTCCCCCAATCAGAATGGGAGACATTATGCAACGTTAGACATGTTGCGCAACATTTTGAGAGTGTGGACGTCACTCGACTTCTCCAGGCGAGGCACGTCCCATTCTGCCTCCAGCTACCGAGTGGTTTGTTCCGTTGTTTACAGTTATCTTCTAAAGTTTTACAGTTCTTTTGAAAACTCTTAATCTAATGAAGAAGTTTTAAAACTAATTGAAGATTACTGTGACGTCTCCCAATCTTAATTTATTTAATAAAGCATTACTAAACTTCTGTGCGTGTCCAGTTTGCGCGTTTTCACATTTGATCTGTAATTAGCAAAAAGCAGGTACTCATTCCATACAAAACTATATCCTCCATGGTGGGCAGCGAAGATGAGATTGAGAAATTCACATCGCTAAACGAGGCAAAGAATTGGGTCTATAGACCGTGCCTCGTGACCGTCTCTAGACAGTACAGAAAAATCACGCAACAATGACTACTAGTGTGTGCTAGGCTTAAGATCCATTGGTTGAGAAGTTTGACCAGATGAAATTTGTAACGTTCATTCTAGGAATCGAAGGAGGTTGATGTTAAAAATGGAACGACGATGACACTCCACACAGAAAAGAGCTATTTTGACAAAGGCACCGTATCCGATATATACATCGATCTAGCTACATTGCCATCGATTGTTAAGCCTGGGACAGTTATATATATCGACGACGGACTCATTGAGCTCAAAGTATTGGAGACTGGTAACAAGATTTAAGGACCATTATTATTATTATTATTAATTTTTTTGCCTCATGCTTGAGATAGAACATTGTAAATTTGAAATTAAATAAATCAAAAATTACATTAATATATTTTCTGTATCATCTCGGGTATATACAAATCTTGAATATGCAATTTCACTTTCATACGATTTTTCGTTTTTGTGATAGACTGGTCACATTCATACACACCCACCATTTTGTGGGACTTGCTTATTTGGACTCAAGAGACATCAAAACATGTATTTCCGTTGAAAACTCAGATTCAAAAATTTTTGTGATCGCAATACTTTCCCTTACTAATATGTTTCATATTTAGGTAAGTGAAAGTAAAAAATAATCGAATGAGTAAGGATATAATTGGCTGTAGCAACAGATTAATTTTTATTATAAAATTTTAGAACATTTATAGTTTTAGTAAAAAGCAGGCACAAATATAATTCAGTATATTTATTTTTATGCTCAAAACAGAAAAATTCTATACCTTGATGTGACTTTTTAATTTACTGAATGGTAAAATAACTCCTCCTATTCTATTTAATATATCATTTAAATTGCCTTTAAGCGGACAAGATATCCGAATAGAAATAGTCGTTTCTCCATCTTTTAGACATCGTTCTTTATATTTATTATCATGTGCCAGTTTATACAATATATACAGACAATACCTGACATGCTCCTTAAAAAATTGCAATAATAAAATTTCAGGACCTCCCAGAACTCTATTCATTAATTCTTGGTTTCTATATTTTCTCCTTGCATATTTGTCTCCTTTACTTTAGTCATTTTTTTTTTCCTACGCCTAAGTAACGCCTGCTTGATCAACCATGCGTGCTCTAGCAGTCCAATATAATTTTGCTCTCCGAGCATAAGGGCTGTCCATTTCACTAAAGGAACATCTTATGGCTTTAGTCATTCCGGAAACCATAATCCAAATGAAAATTAGAAAGATCCCTGAAGATTCACTTAGTATCTCAGAAACAACCATCTATCAGTAGTAACCGTACCTTAGGTTTGATTTTTTTCTCTTTGACTACTTGAATAATCCCAAAATGTTTCATTTATTTTTTCTTCAAGTGTTTTTAGATTATGTTTTATCATTTGTTTAAACTTATTCTGATGAAGGAATTGGAAATTTAAAGGTTGTCAGCTACTGGAGCCTTGTGATGGGTACTTTTGCCAGGCCTGAATTCCCTTTAAGCTAAAGAGATATACTTATTGTAAAGAGACTTAAAGATGAGACTATTCACTACTCAGTCAATAAAAAAAAATCTTAGTGATTCGGATTAAATATAAAGAAAAAAATATATTTTTCTATGGAAAAAAACAGGTTCTTTATAGTGATTAGCATTCATCGATAAATTAAAACAGATAGTCAAAATTAAGTTTGTTTTTAATATTTTTTTTTATTTATTCACACCATATATATAGAAAATATAAAATTAACAAAAGTAAAATAATAATCAAAAACTATGTACAATAAAAAATAAAATGACTTTAAGATAAGTAAATTAAACATATAAAAACACAGTAATAAATATATACAATATATACAAGCAGGCAGGGAACACAAACCAGGCTTCTCCCTCCAATTATAGAAGGAAAAACAGGACTCCAAGAGATCCCTAAGCTACTCTTTCAATCGCGTCACTGGCGCTAAAGCCAGTGGAGTTTGAGCGAGTGCGCTTTAGCCACATACACTCATGTCTTGAGTGGAGAATCTGGCCATTGCCAGAACTCCAAGATATATACTACAAAAGATCTCTGGGCCACTGCCGCTTCAACCTTCGAGGAGGATTGTAGGGATGAATGGAACTAGATAGGGATTGTGGTAGGAGATTTGGATGATTTGTAAGGTTCTGATGGAATTAGGAAAATTTTTCAGGGATAAGGTCAAGGACAAAAGGGATTTTAAGATTATGATGTAGGGTTTTGTAGGTTCCATAGAACGGAGCATCAGCTATTGTTCGGAGGACTTTAGACTGAAAGGATTGGATGTGTAAATAAGTTAAAGGTAATTTTTGATAATATCTGTTTTAAAATTAATAACAAAATTCATTTCGCAAAATTAAGTCCTCATTACCATCCTTGCAATCTATAGGAACGTTCCAAATCAAACAAAAGTTTTCTCTAAATTTACATTTTTTTATAAATATTGGTGGATATTTCATGGATTTGAAATGTGTTCAGAAGGTGAATACAAGAAAAATACAATAACATTTTTATTCACGAAAAAAAATTCAAGTTTTCACACGAAAAGTTCAAAGAAATTTTCTAAAGCCTACTAGCTACTGGTGCATTTACTCAACTTAAGGATTCTACAGAGTAGTCGATTTCCTTGCCAGTTTTATTCGAATTAATGATGGAGTAGGACTTAGACGTTATAATGATTTTAAATTGAGTTGAATATATGAAACTATTTACAGATATCATAGTTAGCAATATAACTATATAGCACATGACAATTATTAAGCCTCCGTGGTTGCAAATTTGTAATTTGATAATTCTATTTCAGGTGGAACTTGGATTAAGTGTTTCGTTGAAAATGGTGGAAAATTAGGAAGCCAGAAAGGAGTGAATATACCTGGTTCAAAACTTAACTTACCAGCAATTTCGGAAAAAGACAAACTAGACATCAGGTTTGCTATGGAGCAAGATATAGACATCATATTTGCTTCATTTATTAGACGTAAAGAAGATGTATTTGAAATACGGAAAGAAATTGGTATATATAATATAATATATTTTCATTAAGTTATTTATCATAAGCGTTCTAAAGTGATATACCTAATAGGTAGAGAAAACAGTAAGAAACTATTGGATTAATTTAATTATGTTGAATTTTATTTCTTAAACTATAAATCTATAGTTCATATAGACTTTATTATTCTTATTTACCATCTTAAATTCAAATAATCCCTCATTTATTTAATATCCAGAAATTATTTTTTTTTCTATACGTCGCGATATCTTCAAAGAACACTTAATAAAGAAAGGTGAAAATTAGATGCACTCATATTTAATTAAATATGGAATATCCTTATGCATGTCCATTTAAATTCAATCTAGGATTTTGAATATTAAAAAACAAGCTCCTGACAATATTGAGTAAAGCCCACCTTACACGGTCAATATTATTGAATCAAGAATATTGAAGCAATATTTTTGAACGTGCAATACATATTTCAAATGTCAATATAATTGCCACCATATATCCCTCATACGGTCAATATATTCCATATTGTTTCATAATAGTGGCCGAGCAAATGCCCCTTTAGGGTAAGCTCCATCTTTTTCAATAGTAACATCATGTCTATCTGTCCCCGAGCCCCAATACAGCTTGGCAAATATTTTGATTATATTTCAAATATTTCAGCCCCTCCCCCTAGATACTCGACTGCTTCAATAACAGAGACATCCGAAAAGTTAAAATAAAACGATGCGGGAGCGCTTGAAAGGGTGAATAAAAAAGTGACCGTTTCTCAACCAAAAATTTGTTATAATATATGCTATATGTTATTATTATTTTTTTTTTATATAAAATACAATTAATACTCAAAGTATAGTCTATTGTTATCTACCGTCATTAGCCAATCAAATTTTCTTTTGTTGAAGAAAATGGGCCACGGTTCTACATAAATATTAATTCGATGGTACTAGCTCTGGACTATATGATGGATGAGGCAGGAGTTCGAGTTCATGAAGTTCTTTAAACTTTTCTTTGGTTCGACGGGAATTGTGAGGACAAGCATTCTCTTGGAATAAAATTCCTTTTCTCTTGATTATAGCAGGATAATGCTCTAACAACTTTGCGTACAATCTTTCCAGTTGTTCGCAGTAAAGTTCACGATTCATAGAGCATCCATCAGGAACAAATTCGTGATGAATAACACCTTCAAAATTCCTTTTCATCAGGTGACAATCTTCCGGTAAAATTTCATATCAGAAGAGTTTTTCAATAAATTCTCACAAATTTCTAAATTCTTAAATGATTGCTGAAGAGTAAGTTCGTGAGGGACCAGTCTACTGCTCTTGGAGAGTAGATGGCGACTAACAGTATGTTCGGACAAACCACACTCCCTGGCAAGTTCGCGAGTACTTTTAGACGGATTTGACTCAACAGCTTCCTGCAGATCCTCATCAATATCCATTAATGGTCGCCCGGAGACCTTTCCAAAGTCGTATCTCTATTGCTAAGTTTTTCGAACCAACACCGCGCAGTGCGCTGGTCAAGGATACCTTCCCCTTCATATTTAATAATTTCACTAGTTGCTTCTGCGACTGTGAATTTTTTTTCTATCAATGCCTTAAAATTACGAGAATTTTGTAGAACACTGTCATGTTTCTTTTTTGAAACAAATAACTATAATGAGGCTTTTTTTGAAGAAGTCGAATTGGATTAAACAAGCTTAGAGAATGCTCTAATGGGATTATTAAGTATTGGTAAATATTAAATAGGATTAAAATATTTACAGTTCTTGAATTTGATAAAACGATCACTTTTTTTTAAGACGCCCTATTAAATTCTTTATTAAAATTATTTTGGAAAAGTTCTGGAATATAAAATTGTTTGCATAACGAAATATTCATAGGCCTTTCTTCAATTGATTCAAGTATTGTTCATATACATTTGAGGCACGTTATATTACGCTACTAATAAATGGGTAACACGATCAAAAATAAAAATCCAGTTTTTTAAAAATGATTTTGTGATACAGATGCGAAAGAAGATTATGAAAGAATTAGAATTGTTTCTAAAATAGAAAACCACGAAGGTATAGATAATGTCGATGAAATAACTGATGTCAGTGATGGAATAATGGTGGCAAGAGGAGATCTAGGAATTGAAATATCTTCAGAGAGAGTTTTTCTAGCTCAAAAACGAATGATTGCGTCCTGTAATTTGGTATGTCATTAGTTATATTCATATTACACACACACACACACACACACATATATATATATATATAATATTACAATGTTTTTTTATAATTCGACCTTTATATATTATAACTTAAGATATTTATTATAATCGAATAATAGGTCATGAAATACTTTTTTTTATTATCCGATTATAATACATATCTTAAGTTATATATATTCATTCTATTATCTTTAATATATTTGAACACGTAGAGAATTTAGGACATTAGAGAATAGGTACTAGGACATTTTATCCGTCTAGATAACTAGAAAAAACAAAATTGAAGAGAAGATAAAGGTTAGGCTGAAGGCGGAGAATATATATATATATATATATATATATATATATGTATATTCTCCGACGGTTTCCAACTTGAGATAGCTCTGGAAAGGTAATAAGGAAAACATTAGTTAAAAATGGCGGAGTGCACTATGCGCATGGAAGGATGTGCACATGATGAAGCTGCCCTCAGAAGCGATTAAGAGAACATTGAGAGTGTGGGCGGGGTGGCCGAATGGGCTAACGCGTAGTGCACAGCATCACCGTTACCTCGCAACCAGATATATGACAAATGATACGAAAATAGTCATGAGTTCGCGTCTCGGTGCCAAGGCGTCTTTTAAATCCCCGCCCACACCCCCTGGCCCGGGAAAACCCCGTATAGCCTTAATGGCGAGGAAGGGGAGGAAAAAAAAAAAAAAAAAGCAGAGCAGAGAAAATTGGCGTACAAGTAGATGGAAAATTGTAACCGACAGTAGAAAGATTGAAATACCTTGGATCCACATTAACCTCAATGAATGTTTAGATATCAGAGATTAACCAGCGCATACAAAACGCAAATAGAACTTTCTTTCCTCATTCAAGGTTACTTTAATCCTGTGAAATCTCAGATTTAGGATGTGCAAGATGGATAATTAGAATCAACAAAGATTCTGTAGAGCTTAATGCAAAAAGCAAATAGGGAACCAGTAGCGTAAGGTGGTCAGAGAAGGCTGGTTCAGGAGGTCAAAGGTCTTTAAAGTCAATAGATAACAGAATAAAATCCTAATAGGATAAATATTATGATTATTTCTTTATTTATGGCGTATTAAATTAATATAAAAATAAATGATAATTTCGCGTCATTTTTAGGCAGGGAAGCCAGTGATCTGCGCTACCCAAATGCTCGAATCGATGGTAAAAAAGCCACGTCCAACGAGAGCCGAGAGCTCAGACGTGGCCAACGCCATCCTGGACGGAGCCGATTGCGTCATGCTCTCTGCAGAAACGGCTAAGGGGAAATATCCGGTCAAGTGTGTCCAAATTATGGTGGAAATATGCAAAGCCTCCGAGGAAGCCGTACAGCACATGAAGGTTTTCCAGGAAGTGACCAGATTAGTAAGTTATCGAACTTAATATTTCTTAATAACTGTTTAGAATAAATATATATTATTTATAACTGAAATCACATTAGATAGTGAAACCTGAGACTTGTGTAGCCTCTACTCCAGGCTAAATTATTGCAGGGAAATAGGCACTTGCAAAAAAAGCTTATGTGTCTTAAAACATTGTAACCATCGGGATGGATAAAAAAAAAGTTTTATAAGAAAATCCTAAACTATAGAATTTATACATTTCTTTTATAAATTAAATCATTATTCGCTAAAATAATTCTCTCTTTGATGGCGGATATATCAAAGTAAGGTAGTTTCTCGAGTTGATTGATTGAATTCATAGTCTGAAGAATTCATAATTCACGAAGTCATACTCTGGGTTTTGTTGCTCTACTTGATGGAATTTTATAAGTTTCTCATCCATAAGTTCACTTCCCCATATTTACTAAAAGATATAATTCAACATCTTCCTTTATTATTAATCAAATAAAGTGTTTAAAGTTATAAAAAGGTGATTTTTTATTTTTAAATTATTATTTAGAATCTTTCTCTCTCTCTCTCTCTCTCTCTCTCTCTCTCTCTCTATATATATATATATATATATATATATATATATATATATATATATGTTTAAAGTTATAAAAAGGTGATTTTTCATTTTTAAATTATTATTTAGAATCTCTCTCTCTCTCTCTCTCTCTCTCTATATATATATATATATATATATATATATATATATATATATATATATATATATATATATATATATATATATATATATATATATATAGAGAGAGAGAGAGAGAGAGAGAGAGAGAGAAAGATTCTAAATAATAATTTAAAAATGAAAAATCATCTTTTTATAACTTTAAACACTTTATTTGATTAATAATAAAGGAAGATGTTGAATTATATCTTTTAGTAAATATGGGGAAGTGAACTTATGGATGAAAAACTTATAAAATTCCATCAAGTAGGGCAACAAAATCCATATATATATATATATATATATATATATAGAGAGAGAGAGAGAGAGAGAGAGAGAGAGAGGAGAGATTCCAAATAATAATTTACAAAATTTGCCCAATTTCCAGCAGAAAAAAACAGAAGTCACGTTTTTTATTTAATAGGAGGCGATAACTTAAAAAATATGTAGTTTAAGTAATTAAATATAGCTCCATAGTAAACTAGACAACATTTACTTTAAACGAAAGTAGATTTTGTCAACTATTTAAAGAGAAAAATACATCACACAATACATCCCATATCACGGAAAAACAGGAAATTAAAGTTTTTCAATAATTTGTTGTAGTGATTTTTGATGAAAACAGGTGTACATTTAGGTGATTGGATAGGAAATCAAATAATTTATTTACATAACTTGGGGTGAATCTCAATTTTTTTCCTAATAAACCTCAACTTAATTAACATGGGTTCAAAGCATATTAAACGACGATGGTTTTCTAAAATTGGCGTAAATGTATATAATTGAAGGGTGATAAACTAAAATCACAAATAATTTATGATTTTTTTTTAAACAGAACTCAGCTGTGTTTGTCTTTGTCCGCTCAATATTCTTCTTTAAATAGTTTTAACAATGAAAAACTCTACTTTCTTTTCAAATAAATGTCTAGTTTACTATGTAGCTTTGTTTGATTACTTAAATATTTTTTAAGTTATCATTTCTTATTCAGCAAGATACTCGCTTAAAAAAATACTAATCTCAAATTCCTTACTTTTCTACCAGAAGTTGGGCAATTATTTATATGAATTTTTTTGCAGGTCTTGATGCATATTATCAACCTTTTAAATGTTTCCCTCTACATATTGTTAGATCTGGTTAACTCCTTCAATAGCATATGATACAGTACTGCAATGTTGATCAAAGTTGCAAAATTGCAGGTTCTATGAATGAAGGAGACAAAATTATCTTGACGTTTGGGACCACTTCAAATAAGTAACATTACATTTTAGATAAAAAACGAAATGCGATTAAACACAACTAAGTTTTTCTGATAACACTGGATCGAGAAATATTATTACTATACGTTGGAGGGCATTCGCCTAAAAAAAAGGACCCTAAACAAATATTTTATATAATTTCAGCATTTTTGAAATTATTGTTTTACCTATGGTAACAGCTTATTATATAGCAATCGATTTGTTGTTTTTTTGTTTAAAAAATAATTTAGCCGATTGCATTAAATTAATTCAAATTTGTAAGTAATTGAAGTAAATTAGACCATGTAATTTTGTTATCATAAAAAGTACGTCAGATTCGATTCGAGATCCCTTTAAGACCCTTAATTACTAATTTCTATTGGAATTTAAAAATAACAACTTTGGGACTTGATTTTATTGGATTCGTTTTTCTTGTTGTTCACTAAAGCATTTATTACTCATCTGGACAACATTGCTCCTGGACAGCATTTATTACAACTCATTGCTCTTCGAACTCATATCAATAACATTTATTCAATAACTCTAATAGTAATAATTAAAGAAGAACTCCTCAAACATTTTTATTTCATATCTCATGTAATAATTTGTTTAAGAAAGTCGGATTTGTCCCAACCAAGGTAGTTGCTAACAAAATTATTGGTAACAGTTCTCTTTGAAAAAAGTTTGACAGAATAAAGTGAATTCAATACATTTGTTAACGCCGCATACACTCATATTTTGTTATTTTTTTCTCATAGTTTTGCCCTTTTAAATGTTAATAATTAAATGTTTATTTATTTTTTTTTGTAAAAAACTGGGGGACAATTGTCCCAGAATTGTACATTGTTTATAAATTTAGCTTCATTTGCGATGTATTATCTCGTTTTTGTATACGCTCCAGCCCGGCAGTAATACCCAGTCTTAGAGATTAAGACACAAATACTGCGATAAAACTACCGAGATACAGTCTAAAGTCAGTCTCGAATGAGCGTTCAGAGACTCAGGATCTATGTGTGTATTCATGAGAAACCCCCCACCCCGCCAGCCGCTTCTGTTTCGTCTCATCTGGCCATTTTCTGATGGAAATCTGTCCAGCATTCGGCAGTTATCTGTATCGATAGATGTAATGTAGATGCTACCTACCATCGACAGTTGAACAGCCAGGTAACCTCCTTGGGAGCACCTTCCACTCAAGGTCAGTAAAACTACCAGGTTCGCTCACTTAGAGGGAAAATGGCGGCGAGGAATTGAGCTCTGACGTAGCCAAAAGACTAAGTTTACCCCTTCGGCCTTTGTTTCTGGACGTTTTAAGATTATTATTTACTTTTATAAATCAAATCAATACTGTATTGACAAATAACTTATTAATTTTAATAAATTTGAAAGGTGAGAGAAAGGTTTATTTGATATTTGGTTTATTCCGAATAAAATAAAATGTAATTTAACAAGTTGATGTATGATATTTTGCAAAGTACCACAATACTACTTTTTCAATATTTCAAATAAATACAGAGCATAATATAAAATAATAGAAATATTGGAAAAAAAGAAAAAGTATTTAATCTAACATTAAAGAAATGTTTTCTTTCCGTGAATCATTGTAAATATTACATTTTTATGTCATAAGTAATCCTATGTAGCGATTTTTCTCAATATTTTTTGGCTTTGGTTTTCTTAATTGTTGTAAAAGTCATTGGGTATTTAAAAATTTCATTCTATTAAATTCCCTTTGCTGAAAGAAAGGCTTTCTTCATTAATTTCTACATTTTGTTTCCTAAGAAAAAGATAGTAATTTTTTTTACAATACTTTTACATTTACATTCTAAAATCCAATCTTTTCTTCGAGCGTCCTTTGGAAAAGTATGAAATGAAATTTTCATTCATTCAGGAACTTTGGAGTGTCTGTTTTATAATTCTTTTCGTGGAATCCATGCCCAGAGGAATATCTGGTTGGATCATTCCAGAACCTATCATTAATTGTATTAAATCTATGATTTTCCTAATTTTACTTTATCTTGATTTTTTTACTTTCACTTAGCTATGTATGTTATATATAGTAAGAGAAAGAATTGCGATCGTGAATTTTTTTTAAATCCAAGTTTTCAATGGAAATACACGTTTTAAGGTCCCCTGAGTCTAAATAACCAAGTCCCACAAAATGGTCTGGATGTGTGTGTATTTGAGTATTTGAACAGTCTATCTCAAAACAGAAAAGTCGTACTAAACTATATTACGTATTTAAGTTGTGTATATGGCTGGATGTTACAGCAACTTTTTCATCGAAAGTGACGAGCCGGAAGTTTCACTTCTCTTATCGATTTTAGACTTTTTTTTACCATTTTCTCAAGAAGGACTCTTAACGATTTTTATTAAATTCATTATATAAATGTAAAATAAAGCGGTATTTTGTAAAATGTGGATCTTATTCACTCTAGCAGGACTTAAATGGCTAATTTAAAAATTTCTTTCTCTAAAATATCTTTAGTTTTTTTTTTATCGTAATATGCTATAAAAAACAGTTAAATATAAGATATGAAAGAATTTGAGAATGAATTAAAGGATAAATAAAGAATCTTTACGAAGAATACTCGAATTAGTAATACTCGAAGAGGGAGCGAAGAAATCCGAGCGCGGCAGCGAGTACAGGTTTCCGTACGTAACACGTATACATATGCGGTTTTCATAAATCTATTATTCGTTGGTATTATTTAATTGGTATTAGTATTTAATTGTATAGATTACAGCAATATAAACATTAAATGCTTAAACAAATAAAAATACCTACAATGAAATATGAATAAATATAGCGCCTTCTTTATCAGTGCCACTTTTGTCGGAATAAAAATATTTCGTGGCACTTAATTATATATATAGTCGCGAAAGAATGTTTAGTGAAAAAAAAAAACCATAAATATAATACATTCGTAGCCTATGAAAAAGATAATTGATTGTTTTAAATAATATTTAGTATCGCCTGTAATTTTTACTTTCACTTCGCGTTGTCTGAAAATACTTATTTCTGCTAAAAAAAGATGGTAAGTGAAAGTCATGTGATGCGCATACGGAACCAGATTTTTCAAGAATAGAAGAGCAATAAATGTCTTGGGGATTCATGCGCCATTGATTTAATGTTTTAAAGAGTGCATCACATTGGTTGATTGTTACACTACGACTACATTAGCTCCTGGTATAACAGTTTGTCGAAAATCAGTACTCCATTTCCGAGAGCTCTGATACTTTCCTTTATTGTCTGTTATGCATAAGAGTTAGTTTAACATGAAGTATTCTAAATTTATTTAAAACGACAGCTGTTATTGATAAACTTGAACAATTAAGGAATTAGTTACACGGTCATGAAATTTTAGGATAGGAATTAGTTTTAATTTAATTTAAAACTTTAAAATTGTAACATGGTAGACGCCGATGCCCTCGGACAAGACCACCGCAGTAGCCATCGCAGCGGTAGCAGCAGCCAACAAGACTTTGGCGACGGCCATATTAGTCATGACTACAACTGGATATTCTGCCTTCGTCGTCGCCAAGTTCCGACCGCCCTGCAACATATTCGCTATAACTGCCAAGCACTCTGTGGCTCGAAAATGTTTTCTCTATCGTGGCATTATCCCTGTCATACATAATCGTAAGTATCATTGGATCAATTCAGTATAAAGCTTACTAAAGTTTTGTTAATGTTAAGCACATATGTTAATTTTGTTTGGCAATATTCTATTTCATAAGCATTCTATTATTAAGCATTACGAATAAAATCGATTCTCCCCAAAATAATAAGGGACTTATTATTAAGGGTTAAAAATATTTCATAAAATGTAACTGGTAAGCTGGTTGGTGAATTGGAGGTAGGTTCGGTTACAAGTATTAAAAAAAAATCGATATCCTAAAGATTATAAGAGACTAAAACATTAATGATTAAATGCCCTAAGTACAAAACCAAATATCCGAGATCGATGACATTAGGGGGGATTATCTATTATTTTGGAAAATTATATGGAGATACTTTTTTTTTTTTATTTATATTTTTACTTTCACTTACGTATATATGTAATATATACGTAAGGGTAAGTATTGCGATCGAGAAAATTTTTGAATCTAAGTTTTCAACGGAAATAGACGTTTTGAGGTACCCTGAGTCGAAATGACCAAGTCCCGAAAAATGGTCTGTGTGTTTGTATGTTAGCAGTCTAGCTCAAAAACGAAAAGTCCTACGAAACTGATATTACGTATTTATGATAAGTATATGTCTTAGATGTGACGTCAACTTTTTCCTCAAAATCGGCGAACCGAAAGTGCCGCTTTATATCAACGCTGAAACACATTTTCTCAAAAACAGCTCTAACGATTTTGATTAAACTCGGTGTATCATTGTATAATTAAGTGGTTTTTTAAAAGTTTATGGAATTTCCTAGAAAAACAAAATAAAATCGTTAAAATCGGACGATTAGGTAGAATGATATGGTCTCTAGTTTTTTTCCCTGAAGAGGCGAAAATTTGGATAAATTTAAAATATACTGTTTTAATAAAGTATCTTTCCTAAGAACATTTTTCATAAGAAATAAGTACCTAAATTTATACCTTTATTCTCAGTTCTGTATTTCAACACTGCAATCACCACCTCCGGAATCAACTTACTCATATTCTGCATAGATAACTTTTTCAACTAAAAATGTCACTAAAATGACATCACTCAAAAATGTTGACATTGGAGTTAGTCATTCTGAGGTTTATAAAATCAAAGAAAGTTGTGTGGTTTATAAAAGCAGATGGAGTGACTAGATTTTTATTGCCTGTCGTCGATATATAAAATAGACATTTTGTAATTATAATAGTCTTAATGACTTGTTATCTGTAAGCTTTAAGCTTTAGCTCCGTTTAAAATGCACTTCAAAAAAATTTATAACAGCCCAGCATTGCCAGAAAATAATTTGTATTCATAGTAGATCGGTAAGTGAAAGTTGTGTGTTGCGCGCACCAGATTTTTTAAACTACGATAGGAACGCTAATAATGTTTTTAGGGATAACATTTTTGTTTTTGTATGGCACCTGCTGATATAGTATCTCAAGGCACATGCGTTAAAATTTAATTTAATCGACAGCCACACTGCAAAATGCTATAAGTAAAATTTAATTAGAATGTGCGGTTTTGAGTCTTCTGCCTTGGTTTCAGATATACTCATAAAAACACACCAAAAGCTTGATTTAGAGTACTATATCTTTGTGTTAATAATGCAACAAAAATTGAACGGAGAATCCACTTCATTTTGACTTATAAATAATGTTATGATTTGCACTTTCAGGCTTTTGCAGTGAGGCTATCAATATGGTGATTATTTAAGTATTTGGCTGAGATGTATCTACATACTAATATGGGCTACTGACAAAAAGGTATCCACCTACAATATGTTTTGGGATTGGGGGCTTTACCTCATCATCTCAGCCAAATACTTGACACAAATAGATTTGGTTTTGCACTCAGGTTTGATCGCAGATATTTTGTTCCTCAGATATCATTGGGAATATTGATCATATTCGTAACACTTTTTAACCAAAAGTTTCAGTTGCTGTTAAAAAAATTACAGGCTGACTTGAGAAGTGCAAAGGTATAACTAGTAATCTTTGAAACCATGAAAGAAGGAGCTTCTGGCCTATGGAAGGGTGTGAGGAAGAGGGGTGCCCAGAAGGGGAGTTGATGGCAAAACTTAAGCCATCAAAAGTTTTAAGAGAGGCATATTACGGCAGGTTTTTGAATTTTTGATGGAGGCATATTTCGGTGGTGTTATGAATTTTCGAAATAAAAAGTTTCAAACTAAGAGACAAGGGGAAAACATGGAACAGACCGCAACAAGTGTAATTGTATATTCTATAATTTTTCTAATTCTTCCTTCGCTTGCTCTATTTTTAAGAAAAGGTAAACAATAAAATATCTTGAGAGTGGGAGGGGGGGGAGGGGTAAGTTCTTAAGCCACTGGCACCCCTGCCCGTGGTGAGGTCCCGAGGCCCGTGGTGCCCTCCTCGGTGGTGAGGAGTTCCTGAGTAAAATTCGCCACAGGCACCTATAACCCACGCGACGGCCTGAGGAATTAAAACGCGTATTTATTAGAAATCATCATTTTACTACTTGATGTATTTCTCCAATTCTTCAAAGCTTGACAGGAAGAAATTCTAAACTAAGAAATGCATATCCTAAAACCTTATGCACAATTATAATAAATATACCAGTGATAGACACTTTTCAACTCATTGACAGCTTTAAATGACCTAGAGAATACAAATATGAATAGATTTGCAGGTGTTTCCTGGGCCATGAGTGACATCATGTTACAAGTCAATTGGTAGTTTATTTTTTAATGGTGCTAGGCTTGTTCTTTATTTCAGGTAGGTTTCCTTATCCCTATCCTTTAGGAGTTAATTTTGATTCATCCATCTGTAGTTTGGCATTTCTTAGTTTAAAACTGCAGAATTTATTTTGGGTTTTTTAATTATAAATCAAAAAACCTATTGAATCCAAAACCTGAGTGTCTATTCCTAGTGTCTCAATATATGGTGTCAGAAATTCCTAAGTTATTCCTGAATAATTAACTAATCGATTTTATAGAAACAAAATCGACAAAAGACTAAATCTTCTGTCAATTAGATCCATTTGCGGTGGATATTTGCAAATCAATCAATGAGAACGAAAGCTGTGGTTCACATTAATGTTGAAAATTTCTCTTGATGTCTTTCACAGGAGCATATATCTTAAGCAGTCCATCCTGCTTTGAAATAACCTCTGGTACAGAGATTTTTACTTGAAGTCTCAGCAAGTAAACCTTTCTCCAGCAGACACTTTGGCAACATATCCTCTCAAATGATGGTTTTCATCTCTAATCAACTTTATAATTAAAAAAATGAATAAATAAAAATATGCAATGTCACTTTCTAATAAACTAACACATATCTCATCATTCAATGGTCAGAAAAATTCCAATGTGGACACAACTGTTTCTGGCTTGCTACCTTTATCAACCGAGAGTTATTCTGATATGAAGCAACAAATCATCATATGAGTGGTCTCATATCAAAGATGGACCTCTCTTATTTTTAAGAAGTTGAGAAAAAGCCAATTCTTGTAACATGGCTTCGATTTAAACCAATTCCAACGATTTCTTTCCATGATTCAACTTAAACATTCTTAAAGAAAATCATCAGACGGTTCGAGTTGAACCTATAAAACAAAAATTGACATTCTCTTCACTTTCTGACAATGACAGATGACCATCTTTGATATGAGATCACTCATACTTTCATTTGTGAAGATATGTTTCATTTTTATTGGGTAACCAGAAAAAAATGGATAGAAACAAAAGAAAAATAAAGAAGATTTAATAGTACAAATAAGATTATTTTTTTATATCAGTTTTAAAAACATAACAAGGTCTAAATCCTATAGTAATAATGTATAATAAACTGTCAAATTTTATATATAAATATCATCTCGAAATAATTTAAAATGTTATCATTTTTAGGTAAGAAACAGGATGATTGGTCTCTAGACACTGAACAAAAAATTAGAACGGGTTTAAAAGCAGGATTGCAGATGGAGTACATACATAAAGGAGATATGGTAGTGGTTATGACCGGATGGAAGAAAGGTAGAGGGAATACCAGTACCATGAGGCTGATTGAAGTCACTGATGAAGTCTGTAGAAGAGTTTTTAATGAGGAAAATACGTGAAATTATGTATTTTAAATAATTGATTGTTAACTTCGGCAACTATTAAGTGATGTGAATGGGAGGAACCAACTTTTGTTATAGATAAAGATGTATACATAACATTCTTTCTCATGTAATTTTAAAATAAATTAATTATTACTTCATTGTATGTTGTATTTAATTATGAAATGAAAACTTCTTACTAAATTAAAATTTTAATTAAAAAAAGAAAATAGATAAGTAATTAGCTATCCCCACTGGAAAATATCAATAAAACAGTTAAGGAATAATACACAGCTATCCGTGAACTAATACTAACTCAGCAATGTATAACTAACTACATGAAGACCTTATTGTATTGGTGCTGAAAAGGAAGAAGATGATGGATCCTTGATTTATAGTTCTCTCTCTCTCTCTCTCTCGTTAAGAATAGAATATATTGGCAAACAAGAAACATATAAACAAAATGTGTTTATTTTTATTAAAACTGAATTTATCAAAAAATTTCTTTCTATAACACCTATCTGAGGTGCCCAAGAGATATCAGGTCTAGCTTCCTTTGTTTCTATTTTCTATTGTATATTTATAAATAAAAAGGCTACTTAAAATAATGATAGTTTAATTTTAAAAAAGTTAAATTGTTCCAATCCCTCGGATCGCGCTTTATTGCTGGAGGAGATTACAATGCTAAACACCAACGGTGGGGTTGTCGAACATCCAACTACCGCGGTAACATCCTTTCCCGTCTCTCATCTTCTAATAGTTATTCAATCCTCTCGCCCATGAGTCCTACTTATTGGCCAACATCTCTCAAAAAACGTCCCGATATCCTTGATATATTTATCACCTCCCAGATTTCCTCCTCCCAAACTATAATCAAATCCCTGGATGACCTTTCTTCAGACCATAGTCCAGTTCTGCTTTCACTACATCTGACTTTGCTCCTAAACCATCACCTTCTAAACTGATCACTGGACGAGTAAACTGGGACAAATTTCGTGATGATTTGGAAAACAAACCAAACCTCAAAATTCCGCTAAAGACAAAAGAAGACATTAATGGTGCCATAGAAAAACTGACATCATCAATAACAGACAGTATAAATAATAACACCTTTATCAATAAGATTAACAACCCACAATATACTAACTTGCCACAGCATATTCGTATCTTATTAAAAGAAAAACGCAGAGCAAGATCGAAGTGGCATAGGACTAGATACCCAACAGATAAAGCGCATTACACCCAACTGACTAACAACCTGAAATCAGAAATTAGAAAATTCAAAATTCAAAATTTACTCAATTTTACTGAAAAACTTACACCAACCGATAAATCACTATGGACGACCACTAAAAGGCTCCTGAAATTTAAAGACTGCAACCATCCACTACTCACTGAAGCCCAAACCTGGTCCAAATCCGACAAAGAAAAATCCCAAATATTTGCTCACCACCTCTTTAAAACCTTTAATCCACATCCCGATATTCTTAACCCAAATCACCTTGAATGTATTGAAGCAGAACTGGATGGATATCCCACTCCAAATGACTCTTCCTCCTAAAGACTTTCATCCTTCAGAGATATCCAACATCATTCACAGCTTACCTTCCCGCAAAGCTTCTGGACACGACCTAATTACATCCCAGATCCTAAAACTACTTCCTCGGAAAGCCATTCTATTCCTTACATATATATATAATGCTGTACTTCGATCCACATATTTTCCCGACCCTTGGAAACTATCCGTTATCAAAATGATACGTAAACCCAAAAAGCCACCAGAATACCCATCCTCCTACCGTCCTATCTCTCTTTTACCCATCATGGGAAAAGTCCTAGAAAAACTCATCCTAAAACACCTGTACCCAATCCTAGATTCTAATCACATAATCCCAGATCACCAGTTTGGATTCCGCAGATCCCATACCACTATCCAGCAATGCCATCGTGTGGTGGATGTTGTCTCCTCTGCATTAGAGCGCGGAATATACTGCATGGGAGTCTTTCTCGATGTAGAACAGGCTTTTGATCGAGTCTGGCACCCAGAACTACTTTACAAACTCCGTAAATTCCTAAATCCTACATACTTCCTCATTATTCGTTCCTATCTAACTGATAGATACTCAAAAGTCAATCACAATAATGCTTATTCATCCCTCTTTTCCCAGTCCGCTGGTGTTCCTCAAGGTAGTATCCTTGGTCCTATCCTTTACACAGTTTATGCAGCTGACATCCCAACACATCCTAACACTGTTATTACCACGTATGCCGATGATACATGTGTCCTATCCGTTAATAATGACCCAACCATTGCATCCCAAATTTTTCAATCGCACATCACAAGCCTTGAAGAATGGTGTCAAAACTGGAGGATTAAAATAAATTCTAATAAATCCTATCAAATCACCTTTACCCTTCGACGTAAACCTATGACCTCATGTCCCACAGTATCCTTTAATAATACCCCACTTATCCCTGTTGAACAAATCCGATACCTTGGACTTCACTTGGACAAACGTCTAACTTGGAATCCTCATACCAGACTGAAACGACAAGAAACCGCTCGACGTTTCCGACTACTCCAACACTTACTAGACAAACGCTCTAAGCTTCCAGTTAATTACAAAAGACTTATATACATGACTACGATAAGACCTATTTGGACTTACGGAGTTGAGCTTTGGGGCTCCACTAAGCCATCGAATTCCTCTTGTATCCAATCCTTACAATCCAAAATCATCAATGCTCCTTACTTTGTTACCAATAAAATAATCCATAATGACCTTAATGTTCCTTATGTTTCCGATTTGGCCCAATCCAGATACCAATCCTTCCATAATAAACTTCAGAACCATCCGAATCCTCTCGTCTCTAACCTTGCTTCCTCTTCTATTCCTGATAACCCTCCGAGACGTCTGAAAAGAAGATGGCCTCGAGATCTCTTATTGTAAATACATTTTGTTTTTAGAGTGCTACCAGTGGGTAGTTTCTCAACAAGTCATTTCATGTTATTATTTTCTGTTATCAAATTTAATTAATGTATTTAATTTTTTAATACAGTTGTAAATATCATGAATAAATAAAAAAAAAAAAAAAAAAAAAAGTTAAATGAAATGTGATAAGTATCACATGACAACTAGGAAGACATTGCCAGAATTAGCCAGGGCCCAACAATTATCTCAAAACGTAAATTTTGTATATATATATATATATATATATATATGTTTTTTTTTTTTAAGAAAGTCGTGTTTTTTATTGAATTGAAAGCAATAAATAAAGGAATATTTAATTCAAGTAATTGCTTCATTGCAAAATAGAAAAAATTTACTTCAAATGAAAATGAGTTTCTCATTTTTAAACGCAATTAAAGAAGACTTTTTAGTGGCTAAACTAAGCTAAGTCAAGTTTTAAAAACTTATAAATAATTTGCGATTTTATTTTATTCATTTACTAAATTCAAAATTGAATAATGCTGTTTGAATTTCACTTTTTTTGCGGAATGAGTGTGGAAAAATGTTTAATAACAAAGAAAATTAAAAAAAAAAAACATAATTACCAGTAGATCTTACACAACAAACTTGGTTCTAGCAAGAAAGTCCAAAAAAGTTTGTTTTTATACACATTGATATCTTTCTTTGTATCATATCAATGTAATGTTAACATTTTTATATTATTTAAGGGAAATAATAAGAAAAATTACATACAAGTTTTGATAATTTAATAAAATAAATCAGTCATTTCTTGATTTGTAAAACAGTTTAAAAAATAATAACATGATAATGTCAAAATTTTTTATACACAGATAAAATTACTAAATATGACATTATTATCATATAAATTATCATAAAATCAACAATTTTGGGAAAAGAAAAATTTAATCATCTTTGGTTTGACTTTCATAAAATTTACGCACATCTGGATCTAGATAAGGAAGATCTTCTTTTCTGATTACACCTTTAGGTAAGTATCCAAGGAGATTTCCGACATGTTCTTTTATGAGATTCCTCCTTTCTTCATCGAGTAAGACTCGCCTAAAAATTGTTTTTAATGTAAATTTATCCAGGGAATATGAAGTTTTACAATCTGTATAACACTAAAGATACAAACCTTTTTTCTATTTCTTTGAGGTCATATTGGTGCTGTTGGTATTGTATTTCTAATTCTCTAAGTTTATTCATGTGGTGTAGTTCCATTATAGATTTTAATGCCCTTCCGTATTCCAAGTTCTCTTGACGTTTACGTTCTAATAGTTCTTGTTCACGCAACATTGCCTTGTGATTGTCTTCTAACAACTTAAATTATAAAATAATATAAATAGGGTAGATATTTTGGACATCAAACTATTTATGTAAAAAAAAAAATAAGAAGAAAAAAAAAAAAAAGGAGCCAATATTTCTTTTTAATGAAATCTATAATCTCTATACCTCCCTTCTCTACAGCTTGGATAGAAGCCCTCCTAAATTTAATAAAGTTACACAAAATAATTAAACAGAAATATAGAAACTCATTGTAACAGAAATTTTCTGGTTTCGCCCAGCCATAAAATGAATACTTGAGAGCATTAAATGGAAAAATCAGGAGATTAGAACACAATGCATATAACGATGTCTCCCAAGAAGTTCCATATGGCTATTTATCAAGCATCTCTACCAGGTTCCACTAGATATATTTACAATTTATAGATATGTAGAAGAAAATAAACTGCCACAGAGCAAAATACCTGTTGACAAAATCTGAAATCTTGCATCTTTTCTTCTTCTAATGTCTTTAAACGGTTTTCCATTTGCTTCGAAGTGATTTCCTTAAATATGTACGTATCTCTTAACTTATTTTCTTTTTCCTGCCTCCTTTTGTCCTCTTCTTTCAACCTACTATCTTCGTCTATCAAAATTTGGGTTATTCGCTCTCGTTCAGCTTGTTCTTGCTATTAAGAAAAACAAATTTAATAGAATGAAATGAATTAAAAGTGAAAAAAAAAATCTCATTGGACATACCACATTTGATTTAATAAGGTTTACACATGCTATTTTATTATTTAGTCTTATTTCCTCTTTTTTTCTGTTGGCTTCTTGAAGTTCCTTTTCCTTTTTTTCTTTATCTTCTAAATATTGTCTTATTTTCCTGGAATAAAACAGTAGGTACAATCTTAATAAAATGTGACCATAGATACTGATTACCCAAGGACTCCGTATTTAAAATAAAATTGATGAGGTGATAGATAGTACTACCCTTTTTTTCCTACTAGATTTTTCCTAGTTACAATTGAAAATATTCTCAGAATACGGGAATAATTAAAAATGTAATAAAAAATGTTAAAAGCAATTTGGAGACCACTGGGTTAAACTATAAATTTAGCATCTTAGAGATTTTTCTGAACCGATATATACTGCTTCATTGGAAATTGCCAGTGACTATGTAATAGGAATTAAATACACCCAGTGCATATAAATATAATATAATATAAAAATAAGTCAGCTGAAAACTGTAACACTCGTATGTTCCCTGTTGAGAAGTAATATATTACTCATTTGAACAATCTGTTAGTTTCTTTGGTGCTAATTAGTTTTAGCACTAATTGATGAAAAAATTGTCATATATTTATAGCCCAAAAAAACAAAAAAGGAAAGGCTGAGGTGAGGTGGCTTGGACATGTGGAGCGTATGAAGGAGGATCGTCTTCCAAGGAAGCTACTTTTTGAAAAGCCGGATGGTACGCGAAAGTGTGGCGTCCCAGAATGAGATGGCTGGACGGTGCTGAGGCAGACCTGCGCCAACTTGGAGTTAGGGGACGGAGAGCGGTTTCTAGACCAGCCTGGCATGCAATCTGCGATGAGACTCCATGCCCTCCAAGGGCAGAAGCACCGAATATTATTATTATTAATATTAAGGCCATTGTTGATCAAAATCCCACACAATGCGATAGGTTGCTATGGCCCTAAATGAGTCACACACAAGCGTATAAAACCATTTGCACAAGCTCAGCCATGTTTCCAGGCTTAATGTTTGGGTTCCTCACATGATTTTTTTTCGAAAACCACAAAAAATGTTATAACTTCAATACGAATTTAGCTATCTACAAGAAATTTGCAGGAATTTAGGACCACATAAACTACACAAAATTACATCAACAGGACCTTCGTAAAAAAACTACTTTGTTTATTTATTCCTTATGTAGGCACTAACTTAAAAAACCATTCATACGGCTTTGAAGAGTAATAATTCAGTTTCCAATGGATATAGTAACATCGAATTTGGAGAACATTCTAAAGAGTTATGAATGTTCGGAAGGGTGTTGTGTTCCATCTAGACAATGCTAGGCCCCACCCTCATTGGTCACCCGCAGTAGATTATTGAGCCTTGGATGTGATCTTTTGCTGCACCCTCCTTATTCACCAGACCTAGCACCAAGTGACTACCACTTATTCCGGTTCTGCAGAATTACATTAATGGAAAGAAATTCCAAAAAGAAGAGGACATGACATCAAAAACCACTTGGATCAGTTTTTTAACCATAAACTCTAGACCTTCTATGAACATGACATTATGCAGTCAGTGGCGGATCCAGGAATTTTCTCAAGGGGGGGGGGGGCGCACCTCTATACCACATGCTTCTCCCACCCCTAGCCTTTCCCCCACCACTACCCGTTTCCCCCACTCCTTAGCCTAGTTTAGCGGCTCAAAAGTCCTCTTTAAATGGTTTTAACATAAGCAAACTCTATTTTTATTTAGAGTAAATTTTGACTTGTTTTCAGTGAAGCTATCATTAATTACTTAATTTAAATTTTTTTTTTATCACTTCTAATTCAACAAAAAAAGTGACACATAGAAAATCACAGAACTTTAATTCCCTACTTTCTGTTAAAAATTGAACCATTGTTTATATAAACTTTTTTATATTTATTGAGTTTTGCTATCACTCCTTTAAATATTTCCCTCTACTTACGAGACACCCTGTATATGGGTTTAGACAAGTAAAAAACTAAATTGCTAACACAAGCCACCAAGAGAAAACTTCTTAGAGCTGAAAATTCGAGATTTATCTGATCTTTTTTTTTTACCACTAAACAGTGCATCAAAGTGAAAAATGCATTCTTTAAGAAATTAAAGAACCTCAAATTGTGCCTCGAACGAGTACCTAAACTTAATAATTTGATTAAGTGGTATAATCGATAACCACGGTCAATGAATGCTAATTTTTACAGATATTGTCAAAATCTGAGAAAGATTACTGTAAATGATGCTGCAGCTTGGAAATGGGTTCTCTAAGAAAAAAAAACTCAGAATAATTTCCAATTCCGATCATAATCAGATTTCGATCAAATCGGCGACCAAATAATAATTATATTCCTTTATGAAAACCTTCCCAACAGTAACTATTTTAATAAAAGACCAACACATTCTAATGAGAAATATACAAATTATGTTGTGACCAGTTTTATGATTCGCATGGATTCTTCAAGGAGATTATAGTTGCTGGGTTGCAATGCGTCCAGATCTATTGAAACTGAGTAAAAACTGGGTCCGGAAGAAAACCTGTATTTTCTTGTATTTGAATAAAAGGTGGTTCGAAAGAATAAATGAAGTTTTTTTTAAAATAAATTTTCCTCCATCATGTATTTCACCTGCGAGACTCAGTTCGAAATCAATAGGAACAAACTGCTAAAGGAGCAAAAGACTTTGCATCTCATGGCGGTCCAAAACTACATCACTCTTTTTTTTAATAGGTGTTTTTCTGGATCTTTTTTTTCGAAATTATTTTTCTAACATTGAGAGGGGGACACGCCCCCTGAAAGAAATCACTAGTGCTGGTCACGATAATAACTTTGTTTTTATATTACATTAGAAAATTCGTCTATGAGGATGAATTTTTCCTATAGTTCTCATTTCTTTGAATAGGTGTTAATTAGAATTTTTTCGGGAATTTTTTTCCAGCCTCCAGAGGGCGGGCGCTGGATCCGCTAGTGTTTGCAGTTAGTGGAAAGATGGAAAAAAGTCATATTAAATAATGGTCAATATATTGTAGATTAAAATAAATTTTATATCTATAATACATTGAGTTTTACTTCATCCTGAAAAACCAAAAGGACTTATTTGCCAACCCAATAGAATTGCTCTTGGTCCTCTTCTTCAGAAACTTCGGTGGAGACATGTACACAAATAATACTATAGTTTCAAAATGTCTCTTTAAGTGGTATGCAGCAAATCCTAGTGCTGATGGGCTTGAAATCTAATGCGAGCTGTGACTTCTTCCTACTTATTATAAATCCTGTCCAAAGCTGTGGTTGCATTCATTGCAGCTGTAGTAAACCGTATATTTATTTTTATCAAACATACTCTGCCCTGTCCATCTGATCTCTAGGATGGCAGCAATGTCCACTTTATAGGTGTTGAATTGTAAAAGTAGCTGTTGTAGAGCTCCGGGTCTGTAAAGCGATAAAACATTCCAAGAGACTAGTTTTAGGTCCTTAAAACAAGCATTATGTCGGTTATCAGCCTACTACCCCCGAGTCAGGAGGGGGGACTGCCTCCTTTGAGTGCCCTAACTTGCTCCCCCTTCGGGGCAGCTACCTAGGGACGGAAACCATAGGGTGTGTTCTGTAGTGCCTTAGTCTGTAGTGTGGGGATGAGTGTAGTAGTCTGTGGGCCAGACCCCCTTACCGTGCACCCCCCCACATCCCTATAAATTGCATATCGTTGTGTTCCTTGTAACAATTTATTAAAAAAAAGCCAATGTTCCCACAAATAAAAGTGAACGCACTGCCCCAAAATGGCGTCCAAAGATGGCGGATTGACGACTTTGACTTTAGTTAGTTTTTTGGTCACTGAGAATCAGCATTTGGCTTAATTTCGTCATAGTTGGTCTTTTATTAAAGCTGAATAGTCATAGAATAATAAAACATAAAGAAATATTAAAAAATAATTGGTTTAGGCTATGAAAAACACCAGTAAAGTCAATTTTTTTAACAAAAAAAATTTCAAGTTACAAATCAAGCGTCGTTTGTAATTAAACGGCCTATAATAACGCAAAACGTGCTGAAATAAAACATCTGGAGAATATATTTCTCTTTCTAAAACGCTAATTATTTTTTTAAAAATTTTAAGCGGTTCCGTAGAAAACGGACTTATGCGGCAGAAAAGCGGTACTGGCGTGGGTGCCTACAGGCCTCTACCACACCATTCAGTACACATAAATGGCTTAGTTATAGTGATATAATAACTTTTTTGGTACATTATATTGGTTTTATTAACGAAAAAATATTAATACAATAATATAATTGTAAAAAAAAATTAAATTTAAAAAAAAAATTAAAATTAAAAACAAATTTATTATTATTTTTTTTTAATTTAACCTCCTTTATTATATACGTAGGTCGTTTAAGAAGACTTCAATCGTAAAAATGATATAATTACAATAATAAAACTTAATTAAGAAATACTTTGCTAAATATCTTGATTTTTTTTTTATTTAACGTTTGCAATTTAACACTATGTTTTGTATATTCACTGATTCTTAGAGGTAATTAAAATTTGTATTTACTTCCCAGGAAATGAGTCATATTAACACCTGTTTTATAAACTAAAATAGTATATACCTAATCTGAACTATATATAATGAATAGCTACCGGATTGTTTAGTAAAACTCATATATCACTAATTAAAAAATTAATTTTTATTTCCTTTATTTTGTACGGAAGTTGGACTATATCATAAATAAATAGGAAATTTTAATATTGAATAAATTATTCTCTCCGCACAAAGAAAGATAGAAAGGGTGACGCTATAAGTTCTTCTATAAACCAGAACAGGTTGTTTGATTTTCGTATCAAAATGAGGAAAACTCGAAATTGAACCAGAAAATTGGAAAAATAGATTAAGCGAACGAGAAAGGAAGTGCCAAAACTTTGGAAAAGATAAAAAGGACCAGTATCCATTATATAGCTAAATGAATGTACAGTAGACAGATGAACAGAATATTTCAAGATGCTGCTAAAAGGGGATCAATTGCAGTTTGGATGATATTAAGTGGACGATGTAGGTTTATTATGGTGAAAACCACTTTATTTTCGATTGCTGAAGATGCACATCGGGACAATATATTAACTTTGAAGCAGGATATAGAGAGGTATATCGAGAAAGCTATAGCTCATAGCACTCCTTCTGTTTAGTGCATTTGGAAAAGATTTTTTAAGGAATCTAAAACGAAAACGAGCTTTTCTGAAAGACAATTAGATATTAGCATAATGCAAAGTGTTAGACACTAAGCAGATAGAGAGCTATTTTTATTTTTATATGGACTTCTCTATAACCTACCTTAAAGTGAAGACAGTCCCAATTTTCATTTTCTTTTCCATTGTGCTACTAGAGTTTCTCAATCCATATCGCTCTGGCAATAGACAATATTTCTTATTCCAGCTTCTACGATTCTTGAGTGTAATTTGTCTGGTACACTAAACAGGAGTGAATTTTACCTTGTAAAGATAAAAACCACAGTCCTTTTATATAATTTTCTAATATACTTTTGCCTAAGTTCGCGCAAAACTATGCGAAGCAGGTCGGTTTAGCCCTTTCCATCTTTCTTTGTGCAGAGAGAATAATGCATTCAATATTAACATTTCCTATTTTTTTATGGTATGGTAAAAATTCCGAAAAATTTATTCCGCAATTTCTGAACAATAACGAGCTATAACTAATATAAGATTCATTAAAAAATCTTTTGCAAATGCACCAAACAGAAGAAGAGCTATGAGCTATAACTTTCTCGATATACCTCTCTATATCCTGCTTCAAAGTTAATATACTCCCGATGTGCATCTTCAGCAATCGAAAATAAAGTGGTTTTTACCATAATAAACCTACATCGTCCACTTAATATCATCCAAACTGCAATTGACCTCCTTTTAGCAGCATCTTAAAATATTCTGTTCATCTGTCTACTATACATTCATTTAGCTAAATAATGGATACTGGTCCTTTTTATCTTTTCCAAGGTTTTGTCACTTCCTTTCTCGTTCGCTTAATGTATTTTTCAATTTTTTGGTTCAATTTCAAGTTTTTCCTCATTTTGATACCAAAAACAAACAATCAGTTTTGGTTTCTAGAAGAACTTATAGCGTCACCCTTTCTCTCTTTCTTTGTGCCGAGAGAATAATTCATTCAATATTAAAATTTCCTATTTATTTAGTCCAATAGATATAGTCCAACTTCCGTACAAAATAAAGGAAATAAAAATTAATTTTTTAATTAGTGATATATGAGTTTTACTAAACAATCCGGTAGCTATTCATTATATATAGTTCAGATTAGGTATATACTATTTTAGTTTATAAAACAGGTGTTAATATGACTCATTTCCTGGGAAGTAAATACAAATTTTAATTACCTCTAAGAATCAGTGAATATACAAAACATAGTGTTAAATTGCAAACGTTAAATAAAAAAAAAATCAAGATATTTAGCAAAGTATTTCTTAATTAAGTTTTATTATTATAATTATATCATTTTTACGATTGAGGTCTTCTTAAACGACCTACGTATATAACAAAGGAGGTTAAATTAAAAAAAAAAATAATAAATTTGTTTTTAATTTTAATTTTTTTTAATTTAATTTTTTTTTACAATTATATTATTGCATTAATATTTGTTCGTTAATAAAACCAATATAATTTACCAAAAAAGTTATTATATCACCATAACTAAGCCATTTATGTGTACTGAATGGTGTGGTAGAGGCCTATAGGCACCCACGCCAGTACCGCTTTTCTGCCGCATAAGTCCGTTTTCTACGAAACCGCTTAAAATTTTTAAAAAATAATAAGCGTTTTAGAAAGAGAAATATATTCTCCAGATGTTTTATTTCAGCACGTTTTGCGTTATTGTAGGCCGTTTAATTACAAACGACGCTTGATTTGTAACTTGAAATTTTTTTTGTTAAAAAAATTGACTTTACTGGTGTTTTTCATAGCCTAAACCAATTATTTTTTAATATTTCTTCATGTTTTATTATTCTATGACTATTCAGCTTTAATAAAAGACCAACTATGAGGAAATTAAGCCAAATGCTGATTCTCAGTGACCAAAAAACTAACTAAAGTCAAAGTCGTCAATCCGCCATCTTTGGACGCCATTTTGGGGCAGTGCGTTCACTTTTTTTTGTGGGAACATTTGCTTTTTTTTTTTAAATTGTTACAAGGAACACAACGATATGCAATTTATAGGGATGTGGGGGGGGGGGTGCACGGTAAGGGGGTCTGGCCCACCGTGTATAGTGTACTGTTTGTGAATGTCAGTATACTGTTCACCCAAGCTGGAGGAGCAGTGGCTGTTTGTGGTACAACGACCAGGCGATGGGGTCACTACCTCCCTACCTCAACTGACTAATTGATACTTCCGTAGTACTTTAGGATAAATCACAAATATAAACAATAAAATTAAGGATATAAACAAAAATAAAAAGAAAAAAATTTGGTGTGATACATAACACGCTACATTCCATATAAATTAATTTTTTAATCAGTTGACTTCATATTACAGATTATATTTTTATTATAGATAAAAAGTAAAGAACATTAATATAAATTATGAAAATTACAGTGAAAATCACCAAAAAACAATAAACTTTTATTTGCAAATAAAATTTCTTTTCCTTCATAACTTTTTTCACTAATACTTCAGGAGGATGTTATTATGGTCACATTTCCATTAAATTCCCTTTCACTTGATACCTTGGTCGTCAAAATCCACTATTATCAAAATTTTTGTGATTTTCAACAAAAATTCAAAGCTATAGCTTTGGTGAAAATTTAAAGCAAAAAAGTTTTTTTTTCGATTGGTATGAAAATTTGTATTTGATGATTTTTTGAGATTCTAAATACAAATTCCAACTCTGTTTCTCCTTAAAAAATTATTTGTATATACTTTGCTCTATTTGTATGTATATATTGTTATAAATTTACGAATTTCCAATAGATTTTGATGATTTTTTGTTTGTTTTATAGGGAATTTAGTAATTTTTAGAATTAATCATGGTCCATATCAGCAAAAAATTGCAAACTTGGTGCATATCACCAAAAAATTATAATTTTTTTTTAGTTATTTGCAAATAAAGTTTCTTTTCCTTCATAACTTTTTTCACTGATATATCTGGAGGATGTTACTATGGTCCGTCTCCATGAGATTCCCCTTCACTTGATACCTTAGTCGTCAAAATTCACATTTATCAAATTTTTTGTGTTTTCAACAATACAAACTACAAAATAGTTCAAAATTTCCTCGTTTCGGCGAGTGGTGGGGGCAGATCAGAAGATCTAAAACATAACACTTAATCTGTACGAGTGACGGTGCACTCAGCCGCATTCCAGCACTAGTATCCACAGAGGCAACAGATGCTGCGAGGGCGTCCTCAGGTAAAGAGATGTTTTAAGCTGGTATAAAAATGGTAAGCTGTTTTTGCACAATTCATATAACCTATGAACTTATTAAAATACAGTCCACTGCATAAAAAAGTAGAATGTTGCCTATTAAGAATTCATGAGAGTTATTTGCCTTGCCTTAATTTAAAATTTGAAAAGTTGCCTAAACAACAACCTTATATATTAGATATTGATTTTTCTAAAATTTTTAGCGTTCCAATTTTTTAAACCATTTTCTCCATTTCATTTAGTTAACCCTTTAGTTGCGTGGAGTCTGAATCAAGGTCAGGTCGCGTGTACGTGGGTTACTGAAGGTCCCGTGTGCACAGGATTTATTCACTGAATAGCTCCCGTCTGTTTGCACTTTTCACATTAAAATATGCTACAAAGACCTTTTTGCAAGAGTTGGTGCATTATTTTGAATCAGGGAACCTTGAAATATTTATTTCAACTGAAAACTCGGATTCAAAGTTTTTCATGATCACAATCCTTTCTCAAACTATACATTTCATAAATGAGAAAGTGAAAGTAAAAACAATATTTAAAAATATTCTAGTAAAATTACCTGTCTTCCTCCTCTTGTAATTTTGCTTCTTTTTCAACCCACACCTTCTTTGCATTCAACATTGATTCAGCTTCTTGTTTTGCTATTTTTTTCTTTCTAATTTTAAGTTCTTCATCCCTTTAAAAGTCACAAACTATAATAAATTATAATACCTAAAGAATCAGAATTATTTTAATAATTTTTTATTAAATATTACTAAATTTTTTGTTTCAGAAGTACAACTAAACCTATTTTAATCAGAGCGGTAAGTTCGAGATTTATTCTATGGACCCGTCACAAAATAAATTCCAAACTGCTCAGGCTGGATTAGCTAGACTTCAGAATGTTTGTTAAAGTTAATACTTTAACACATTTGGCCACCCTGCTCCCAAATATTTTAACTGAACATAAAATTGTATTACTAATTCATGTATTAATTGACTGACTAAGAAGGTGAAATCTTATCCTCAAAAGGAATTTAATTTTCCTATTTCCCAATTAAAAACTTATTATATACCAGAAAAACTTACATATGAAGCATTGATAGTAGTGTATATGCTACTATGATAACTGCTCATTCTTACTTCCTTGTTTTTGTATCATAAGACACTAACTGCAGAATTCCCCAAGTAATTGAGAGACAACATAGTAAATCAGTAAAACAAAACAGATAGATTGAAATAAATTATATTAAATATGTGATGGGCAGAATGTTAAAATATACTACTAAGAATTACCTCTTGTCTTCTTCTGATATGGTTCTCATAGCATCATCAATAAATGATTTCTCATCTAATAGAGCTTTGTAGTCTTCTTCCCTAATCTTCTGGCGGTCAATCATTTGGTCCTGTAATTCTTCTTTATATTTAAGTTTTTTCTGTTCTTCTTCCATTCTATTCCGCACATCCAATTCTTGTAAATGTTTCTCTAATTCCATCATTCTTAGTAATTCAACTTTCTCCTGATCCTAAAAGGAAAATATATTTTTTAAAGAATCCTAATTTTTTAATCTATTAAAAATTGACAAAATAACAAAAACTAACATGTTATTCATAAATAAAAATATTAATCTACAATAATTTATTCAAGACTTTTTTCTCCCTTTCTTCAATTTTTTGTCTATATGGGGTCAACCAGAAACCTTCTGGGCCGGGGGAGAGGATGGGGGATTAATGCCAGAGTTCAATGACACCAGGATTCGAACGCACAATCTTTGGTGTATCAGATTGCCAGGCAACACTTATTTTGCATATGCGTAAGCCCATTCTGCCACACCGCCCCCTAATTAGATACAACCAGCTTAACAATGTTTTAAAAACAAAATAAAATACCTAATTTAAAATTTAAAAAAAAATTCTTCCCCTCCCTTCTTCCTTAATTTTTAATGATTTGATTCTTATACATAACAATCATAAGATAAGATTTTCCACGCATATCAAGTACTTAATCTTTTAATTCTTATCAACTATAAAGACTACAACTAAATGACGTAGTGAATCAATATCAAGAATATTCATTCAAATTTATAATTTTACCTTTCTCCTTAATCTCTGTGCTTTTTTTTCAGCCAACTGTATTGCGATATCTTTATGAAGGTACGCATATTTGATTTTCTGTTGAAGTTCTCTAATTTCTTCTGAATTCTTCCATATTGCTCTAAACACACCAAAATTTAATTAAATATAAATTTTAAAAGTATTGTGATAAAACTTATCATAATAATGCTGGGTGTAAATAGATGGTTTAAATAATTTATTTATTTAATAAATTATTCAAGAAATGAGCCAGAGAAGGCTAGAGAGGTAAAAACATTGTTAGTATTACTAAACATTATTAAAGCTTTGGGTAATTCATAGAAAATTATACTGTGTTAAAAAAACACAAAATTTTTATTTTGCGTACTAATCTGATTTGCACAATGTTTAAAAATTATTTTTTAGTTTTATTTAATAGATTAATTCTATTTGTTAAATTTTTAAAAGCTTTGTTATTTTTGTAACAGTAAAATCTAAATACCACTAGGGACAAATTGTAACAGCATGAAGAGAATAAGTTAGAGTAAACAATTTAATTTAAATTGTAGGAAACAATTTTCTTCCAATAAAAAACAAAATATAAAAAAAAAAAAAAGAAGCTCAATTTCATACCTGTCCTTCATATCCTTGGCCCATTTGTATTTATCCTTCAACATTTCTAGACCCAACTTGTGTTCTTGTTTTACTTCTTCAGTTCTCCAACCTTGGGATACCTTTGCCTTTTGAAAAAAAAATATAAATGTAAACATCCATTTTTATTTATTTTAGGAGAAAAAATATTTACTGTACTATACATAAATCAATACTTAAAATTTCTAACAATGGCAGTAAAGTCTTGTTTAGTTAAATCAAAGAAAAACCTGAGGTGTGTGCTTTAGATCACATGATAGAAGCGAAAACATCAACAAGGCAAGATTAATAATATGAAATATAAATTATAAATAATAGCTCAGTATAAAGAGGATGAAATGCTGAACATTTTCCTCGCTTCCAGTAAGCAGGCCAGATTTTTATTTCTGGGATATTTTAATCCATATGCAAAAATATTTTAATTAGTCGACTTCAGCCGACTTTACCCGAGCGTTACACGTCGCAAATCTGATGGCTCAATCTAATTCACTCTTCAAAAGAAAGGGCAATCCGCGCCTAATAAAGTTTTCACTTAAAAAAAATATCACCATTTAATTAATATTTAACTGCGTAAACACACATTAATTAAGAGTAAACACAAGTTAAGAGTCATAAAAAATATAGTAAATGAAAAAAAATCTAGTGTGGTGCGTGCATCACACAACTTTCCCTTAACAACCTAAGAGTAGATAGGTATTTTCATTTATAGGGAAGTCAAAGTGAAAACGAATATTATTAACAATTGAAGAGAAAAATGGATCTTTTATATTGCATACATAATAATAATAATAATGCTTTATTTATTCTGGGATGAGTCCCTTTAGAATAATACAGAGAAACAAAAATATGGGCTAAGGAGCCTCAGAGATACATAAACAAGAGTATAGTTTGATTAAATAGTAAAAAAAAATAAAATAAAATAAAAACATATTTAGAGAAATTATAAGTTACTTTCTAATTTGCATCAGTTAATAATAAAAATAAAAAATTGAAAATAAACATGAAGTAAAAATAATAAAGAACGATCTAATAATTTATATACATATTTACAGTAGTAACTATTTACAATTTTATGATGAGGACTGGATGGATAAGAAATGATTAAACAGTTGGGATTTAAAGATAGGAAGGGTTTTGGATTGACGGATGTGGGGAGGGATGGAGTTCCATAGGGAAGAGGATCGAATAATAAATGATTTATCGAAAGCAGCGGTTCGGTGGGCCATTATATATAGATCTGAGGACCAAGAACGGGTATTGCGGGAGTGGACAGAGGATTTAAATTGAAGGAGCTCGGCGATGTATGAAGGACGGCGAGAGTGAAGTACTTGGAAGAGGAAGGATGCCAGGAAATACTTACGGCGGTTGGAAGGATAAAGCCACTTCAACTCTTCATAGAAACAGGAAACAGGAGAGTCTCTTGGGATCCCGAAGATGAATCGTACAAAGCAATTTATCAAACGTTTTATTTTCGCCTCGAGATTCCCAGAGACGCCCCCATAAACCGTGCAGCAATAGTCGAAATGGGGAAATATTAAAGAGGTGACCAGGAGTCTACGGATTTCAAAAGGAAAAAGGTGTCGCAGGCTATTTAAGTGTTTTAGGGTGGAAAAGGTACGTCGGGAGATATTGGACACATGGTTTTTCCAGGTAAGGGTTTGATCGAAGATTATTTCAAGGTTTTTGATGGTGGGATAAAATTTAATGGGATTATCATGTAAAAAGAGGGTTGGATAGTTAGGAACAGTTTTGAGGATGTAATTGGAGCCTATTAGGATTGCCTTGGTCTTTTCCGCATTAAACTTCAACTCGTTAACTCCTGCCCAGTCGTATATTCTATTTAAATCTTCTTGAAGCTTTTTTGTGGCGGCTAATAGGTCGGAAGGAGGGAAGGAAAGGTATATTTGGAAATCGTCTGCATAGATGTGGTATTGGGAGTGATGGATCTGGTTGGGAAGGTCATTAAAGTAAATAGCAAACAGAGTAGGAGACAAGGAGGAACCCTGAGGGACACCACAGGAGAGGGGAAGTGTCTTTGAAGGAGGTTGATCTGGGACGACTACATACTGGGATCGATCGGAAAGGAAGGGTTTGAACCAACGTAGGACACTGTTGGATAGAGGAAGATTTTGCAATTTGGTAAGAAGGATGTTATGGTCAACTGTATCAAACACTTTGGAAAAATCTAGAAGGATGAGGATAGTAAGGTTTTGGTGTTCAATGGAGTTTTGGAGGTCATGGATTATTTTAAGGAGGGCAGATTGCGTTGAATAGCCGGGTCGGAAGCCAGATTGGAATGGATTGATGAAGGAACGTTCTTCTAGGAAGTTGGAAAGTTGATTTTGGACAAGGCGTTCCAGTGGTTTTGAGAGGTTGGAAAGAAGAGAAATAGGGCGGAAGTCGTTCTGTGAGGAAGGGTTAGATGTTTTACTCAATGGTCGGACGAGTGCAGTTTTCCAGGAAGAGGGAAATGTGGAATTTTGCAATGAGAAGTTATAGATATGATAAAGTACTGGAATAAGGGTAGGAAGGCTGGATTTTATTAGTTTTACTGAAATATTGTCAGGACCATAATCATTGGTGTGGGATTTGAGTATAGTGGAAAGTACTTCGTCGTAGGACACATGGGAAAAAAAGAAGTTTTCAGGATTGAAATTATGGTGTTCAATATCATGAGTAGGAGAAGGATTAGAAGCAAAAGATAAAAAATGGTCATTAAGATCATCTGGAGTCACAGGGAGGGAAATGAGGTTATTGGAATCTGGTAGGGATAGATTACCAAGTATTTTCCATTTTGATTTGGGATCGGGAGCATTGGAAAGGGCATTATGAAAGTGGTTGGATTTAGCAAGTCGGATTGTGGATTGGGTTGCGTTACGAAGTTGTTTGAAAGATGCATAATCAGCAGGTGAGCGGGTTTGACGGTATTTGCGCCTTGCTGCATTCCTTCTCTTTATCATTCCCTTTATTTCAGGAGTCAGCCAAGGAGCAGTGGGACGACGTAAGATTCTGGTTTTCAGAGGAGCATGGATGTCTAATATGGATTGTAGGTTTGAGGTAAAGGTGGATATCATAGGGTCAATGGAGGTGTAGGAAAATATGGTATCCCATTGGGTAGAATCCAGATCAGGTTGAAGGGATTCATATGAAAGGAGGTTTAGATTGCGATATGATACTATTTTGGGAGTAAATGATTTCACCGGTAGGTCGTACGAGATTTGGATCAGGTCGTGTGATGATAGAAAAGGTACAGGGTGTTGAGAGGAGGAAAGGATTTTAAGCGGTGAGTCAGAGATATGGAGGTCTAACCAGGAGTCAGAGAACTGAGTGTGATGAGTGGAAGAATAAGGGACAAGATAAAGATTGAGAGAACATATTAAGTCATTGAGGTAGTATTTGTCGGAAGATTCTGTGAGCATATTTACATTAAAATCGCCAGAGATGATGATATTGGAGTAGGAGGAAACCAGGTTGACAAGGGACAATTCAAAGAGTTGGTCAAATAGAACACGATGAGGGCGGTAGACAACAACATACAATAGAGGAGAGGAAATAGCGGTAATTTCAACAAATAAATATTCAACGTGAGGGAGGTCATGAAAAGGAGACTGTAAGAGGATTTTGGCCTTGAGACTATTATGTATATATAGTCCGACACCACCTCCCGTGCGATCAGGTCTGCCATGACGTAGGAAAGAGTAATTGGGGAGGGAAATTTGGGAGGAAGGAATAAAAGGTTTCAGCCAGGGATAAAAATTATCGAGGAAATATTTTTGGAATTCATCAAAGTGGGCATTAAGGGATTGTGCATTGACGTGACAGGAATTTAGGATATTAGTCATAACTGAGATGTTGGGAAGGAGAGTTGCGGGGAAAAGGATCGAGGAAGGAGAGTAGGATATAACAGTTTTTTAACAAAATATTCTATTTTTGCAACAGAAAAGAAAATATAAGCATAAAATAAACTTCAAAAAGAAAGAGTTAAAATCATATGGACTCGAATAGAAATAAATATAAAGAATTAATTTATGATGTGAAAAAGTATAAAGATGGCTTTGGTTACAATAAATTATAAAGAAAAAACATTCAGTCAAATGAAATTCCAGCTCTTTAAAACGATAATGAAGAAGGTAACTTACAAAAATTAAAATAAAAATATTTTTGTTACAAAAAACTAAAATTGATACAAATTTTGGGAGATTTACATACAAAATTTATATAAAGACGTCCAAGTCGCTAGCTTTCCCTATAACTACCGCCGGACATCCATCTGACTGTCTGCATCGAATTTTGCCACCACTGAACCACAGGTATTTTATCTTTGCCGTCTGGCTAACCAGTATAGATGTTTATTGGCGGGGGTCATTGCTTCGCTCACGTAAACCCGGTGCGAATCGTTGTTCCCCCAGCCCAGATGGCGTGTAGAGAAGTCTCTTTTCGTTCTTCTCTGCTGCAGCAGTTCATCTCTTGTTGTTTGCCTGACGAAGCGAGCAATGATAGGGCCTGGAGTCCCTTCCTGCTTCGGTTTGAGCCTCACTGCGTGATCCAGATCGTCTGGACTTAACTTGATGCCCAGACCCGCTCCGACGCTAAGAATGGTCCCAGTCACAGTCTCACCCGGCTTTTCTGGAATTCCTCGGATTTCGACTGTATTTTTTAACTGATATTGCTCAGTATAATTTAACCCAATTTCCAGCTCCGATATTTTTTTCTTTAAGGTGTTATTTTCGATAGATAATTTTTCGACGTGTTTTTTCTGTTCTTCCAGCAGGGTTTCTATCTTTAACAGCTTTTCCATATTTTCAAAAGACAGTCCCGACTGTTTGTTGAGGCAGTCTTTTATTTCCTTTAACTCGTCTATGCCCTGAAGCTTGGTCTTCATCTGCTTAACTTCCTCGGTCAGGGCCTTCAATAGGTCAATCATTGTAGGCTCAGAAGCGCAATCGGGGCATATCCATTTTTTGTTAATTTCTTTTAGGCCTTCCGAGTCACTATCAATTTTGATACATTTAGCATGAAATATATTTGTACATACTGCACAGGCTAATTTATTCTTCTCCTCTCGTGCCACCGATTTATTGCATGTTTTACAATTAACCATTTTATTGAGATTATTATTTCTTTAAAATAGCGCTATTTAAATAAGGAGAGTTAAATAAAAACAATAAGCAACAAAAACAACAACACACCTGTTTGTTTGGGTGGCGGCTGCCGGGATTAAGGTGAAGCTTGATAAACTACTCTCACTCAGCTGCTTTTATAACGGGCACTTTATTACTATTTTTATTAATATCAACGAAGATAATACACTACTGTTAACTCTATGGAATTTTCTGAATACTATATTAAATAAATGTGGAGATATTTTAACCGGAATGTCTATGGATAACTATTAGATGAATATATAGAGAGACAGAAACGCACGCTTGAGGTCTTGATTGAACGAGAGATTCTCTAAGACTGGTAAGTGAAATGGTATATAGGTAAGTGAAAGTAAAAATTGAAAATGTAATACATTGAGTCATGTATATTATATTACAGTAAAGTTCCAAATTGGTTTTGTACCAAATATAAGCTCATATACCATGAATGGAGTATTCTTGGATTCAGAATTTTACGGGGGATTAGCAAATTGTAGTCTCTGCTTTTTTTTTTTCTTTTTCTAAAACAAATAAAGTCGATATAAAAATTTTGCTAGGCTTCAGTACTGGAACAGTGGTAAGTCTGCAGATCGATATGGGATAAATTGGGCTTTGAAGATTTTGATGCGTACAACAAGACCCGGATAGTTCCTTCGGAACTATCGGACCCGGTGTTTTCAAGCCCATAACTGTATCATTGTTAATTCTTCCTCAAATCTACAAAATTGAGTCACCAATTTTGAAGGTTTTCTTCTCCTTCAGGTGGGAAAAATAGTTTAATCACCCAGAAAATTCAGTATGAAAAAAGTTATGAAAGAAAAGAAACTTTATTTGCGAACGAAACTCAAAATTTAAACACTTTTCCCTGGTTACTTCCATGATTATATAAAAAATTACTAAATTCCCTACAAAAAGAAAACAAATCATCCAAATCGAACAATTATTAGAAAAAATATAGCTTATTAAAATTTGTAAACATGTTGGTTCCAAACATTAAAGAAGTTTTTAATTAATTTTTGTTTCCTTTGTAGATTATATTTAGCAAGAAAATAACAATTGATTTCTTTTATGATAGTTTCATTATTTTATTTTCTTATTATTTATTATTTCATCACTGAACAACATACTGTGCGAATTTTCACACGGGCCTACTAGTTATAACTAAAAGTGTTGAACCATATATTAAATAACACGGTGTAGTGTTTTACCAATGAATACACATATATATAGCTATACCAGGATAGTTTTAAATATAAGCAATTGTGAGGAAATATCATGCGGAACCTTCATATTCTAATTATGATTGCATAGAGCTATTGAAAGAAAAAAGAGGAAAGGCAATAAATTAATTCATGAGAATTCCACACTGATTAGGCATGACTAAAAAGCACTTCAATTACACTTGTTCATAGAATGCCGAAAGTATCCTATTAAATACAGCTAGTAAATATAAGCACATGTTAATAAAAAAGTTTATTCTTAAGAGAATTTTTTTTTTTAAATAGGCCTTCAAAGAACCACTCAAAAAAAATAGCCTCCTCAAAATTACATCCTGAATCCTCTAGCTGACCAACTTAATATGCAATAACAAAAAACAAAAGTATGAATAATAATGTACACTAACCAATTAATAATTAACATCGCTACCTATATTGATGACACATGTATCTTATCAGTTAATAACGACCCATCAATTGCCTCCCAAACTCTTTACTTCACATCTCAAAACCCTTGAAGAATGGTGTCAAAGCTGGAGAATTAAAATAAATTCCAATAAAATTACCTTTACCCTTAGTCATAAACCTATGACTTCCTGTAACCTTTAACAATACCGCACTTATCCCTGTTTAACAAATCCGATACTCCACTTGAACAAACATCTAACTAGAAATCCTAATACCAGACTGAAATGACAATGCTCAACATTTCTGACTACTTCAATACTCACTACACAAACGCTCTAAGCTTTCAATTAATTGCAAAAGACTCAAATACATGACTATTTGGACTTATGGAATTTAGTTATGGGGCTTCACTAAACCATCGAATTTCTCTCGTATTCCTCTCTTCATCGTTACAATCCAATATCCTTCGTAAAATCCTGAATACTCCTTACTTTGTTACAAATAAAATCACCCATAACGACCTTAATGTTACTTATATTATAGATTTGGCCCAATTCAGATACTTATCCTTTCATAATAAACTTTAGAACTATCTCAACCCTCTTGTTTCTAACTTTCCTTCATCTTTGATTCTTAATAACCCATCAAGGTGACTGTAAAGAAGAAGGCCCCATGATCTCTTAACATAGATATACTAATAGAGTGCTACCAACGGGTAGTTTCTCAACAAGTGTTATCATGTCACCCTATTTATTGCTCCCATTTACTAGATGTATTATTATTTTTTGAATACAGTTATAACTATCATGTATAAAATAAATAATTATCAACTTCGTTAATAAATGATTTTGATAAATAATTTACTAGATATGCAGGTTGATTAAAAATGCGAAAGAGGGACAGGTAGTTGAGACAATAGCTGGTGTCATAAAGCTTGGCAACATTAGACTGTTGCCATTCTATGAACAAGTGTGATTGAAGTGATTGTGAACCAAATCTTATCAATGTGAAACTCTCCTGAACTAGAACCAACAAATACATATTTTACCGTAAAGACATTCAATAAAAGCTAATAATGGAACACATACATTTGCACAAGCGGCTTCTGTTTCTGCTTCTTTTCTCTCTTGATGTATCCTAGTGAGGAAAGATTGATTGACAGCTTTTTGAGTAAGATATACTTTTTCAGCTTCATTTTTGTTTTTCTTTAAAATGATATCATTTGCAGCTTTTGCTTTTCCGGCTTTTGAAGTATCCTAAATAAAATAAATAGTGTAAATGAAAACTAAAAAAATTTAAAAATTTATAGCTTGACTAATTTTATCATCCTACAAGTACTTGAATTTTCTATAAACATTTATGCAAGAAATATCCACAAATTACATGATAACAATTAAATAAATTTATATTGTCCTTGAATTATGTGAGAAATATTACTTGCCATGTTTTAAACCTTAATAGGATCCTTAAAGGGATATGTAAGCAATCTAAAAATAAATGGGTTCATTCAAAAAATTAAAGCAAACATATGCCTTACTGTGGTAAGTAACCATGGTGAATAATAAACGACGCCTTTTTTCCATCAGTCTTTCCCTCAAATCCTTTGAGACGACAAAACCAAACTAAGTCGATGCAGACAACATAAAAGTGGGGGTATACAATTGATAACAGATAAAAGGTAACAGTAATGTTACCTTTCAAAACATTTACATTCGGCTGTCAGCTTCAAAATGTCAAAGGTTCTTAGGAACATTGATTTTGTTGCATTGCCTTCAGCGTTCTCTAAGTATTTCTCAGTTTTAACCCTTTTTGAATTGACAAATATTATTAAAAGAAAATTTGCTTAGTTGAGAGAAGTTTAAAGGATGGTGGAATTTGATGTAGGAGTTGTAATTCCTTGTGCTGGTTCCAGTGAAAGGATGGGGTGTTCTATACCCAAACAGTACATTAAGATTATGGTAAAGATAGTTTAGTTTATCACTAAGTTCTTTTGTCATGATTGAAAAATGTTCTATTAAAAGTTAATTTGTTAATCAATTGTTAATTTATCAATTTTTTGTAAAGATTCTACATTATTTTGACAGATTCTACATCTAAATGTTTGGTTTCCTTCATAACTTTGACTTTCCATTTTTTAAATTAATTTTTATAAATCAAACTTTTTAGTTCCTATTTAACATGTCTACACAAGATGTCCTATAATAATTTAGCGAATTTTTTAAAGTGGATGTGAAGATTTTACTGAATACTCCTTAATTATTTTAAGAAATGAATTAATTTCTGTTACTTTATTTTATGCTAAACAACAATTTGCAGTTTACCACTTATTGTTTTGTGATTTTGAAAATCTGTCCCAGGGACGACCGCTGTTTCTTTATGCTGTTGAAGAATTTAGATCATTGAGTTATGTAAAGAAGATTTCGCTTGTTGTCGATAATGTGGAGCATGTTTTAAACATTTTACAAGAGTATGGTCTTGGTGAGTGCCCAAAAATTTTGCTGACAGCAGGAAGTAGCACTCGGCATCGGTCAATCAAAGCTGGCCTTCAGGAATTGCATCGTGTGTGTAAAGGTATTTTATATTACATTTTTTATATCATTACTGATTTGTATAAATAAATAACCATAGGGATTCATATAACAAGTCTTATTTCCTGATGTCAGAAAATTTACTGTAAAGTATTTTCGTTCCAGACTCTGAAATTAAAGTGGTGATAGTTCATGATGGTGTTCGTCCATTTGTATGTGTGGATTTATTGACTGATTTGATTAAAGCGGCCTCAACAGTAGGTGCTGCAGGTTTTGTTAGACCATTAGTTTCAACTATTCTAAATACAAATCAAGAATCTACAATGGAAAAAGCATTGATTAGGAATCAACACTTAGCCAGTGAAACACCTCAAGCCTTTCAATTTTGTTTGTTATTATCAGCTTACAACAAAGTAATGTTTTTAGTTTACTTCCCAAATCATGTTATGCACCAAGCTTAGTATTATTGCTGTTTATATATTCCTTTGCATGGGTTGTATTTATTCCAAAGTCAAAAAGTTAATGCTATGTTTTAAGCGGTGTTCATTTTTTTAGTATATCTTCATGAAAGCATGCCATTTTTCATCTATATTGTGTTTTTTCCTTTCTTGAAAATGTTAGCAGTGAACCATGGAGTTGGAAAGCTTTCTGTTTCTTGAAATCTTTTTTTTTAATGTTTCTTATTTCTTGAACATTTAGTATCTATAAAAAGTTTTATAATTGTTACGGGACATTCCTTCTTCAAGGCATTTTTTTATAAATATAAAATAATATGCACAATACATTTTACTAGCCGAAAATTATTATATCTATACTTTTGGTAATCCAAATTTGAGTAATTAGTGGTGTCCATGTTTTACATGAATAATATTAAACGAATTATGAAACAGAATTTTTTTTGTATACATTTTTATTGTGATTTATTGTCATAACTTATTTTTCTATTGTAGATTTACACAAAAGTATATATGAGTATATAAACTGTAAAGTATCAAATGTGGAAAAATTTATTTCTCATATTGGTTAAATTTATGTTGTGTTAGAGGGTCTACACATTCAATGGCTAAATATAATTTGCTCAGAAATTCGCCTTGCTGAATGGCACTTTAACATTCAGCTATCATTTTATTTATAGTTGTACAGAAGACATGTATTTATTTGTTAGTACTTACCTTCACGTTTATAGTTAAGTTGATATACCATACTTCTTTTACCATAAAAAAAAAATAAAAAATCCAGGCACACAAGACCCCTAACTCACAACCGTAATAAGTCTCTCTCTCTGTGATATACAAACATTCCTAGAATAACTATTTTCTCTTCCTTCCAGTCTTTGCTCTACGTAATTTCAAATAATGTTTCTATTATCCATAATTGGGATTTCATCTTGAAAATTACAAACTTAGCGTGAACTATATTATATAGTTTACAATATGTTAAAATCATAAATTAATTAAATATATAATAGATCAATAGATAGTGGGATGACCGAACGGGCTAACGAATGTGCTTAGCAACACCGTTGCCCTGCAACCTGACAATTGTTAACTGGATAACAATGGTCAGGAGGGGACCCTGGAAAAATAGGTCCAGGAAAACCCTGTATTGCCTTGAAGGGGAGGACCCCAAAAAATATATATATCAATAGATATTTAAAATTTCATAATCAAAACAATATTCTTTATTGACTTTTCATCGAAAATTCTATCGACATTGTTTTATTTTTATCAAATTCATAAATTCTGAAAGGCTCCTTCTAATAGCTTAATGACAACCTCATGCCGTGTTACCTTGGTATTCTTCATCACTGGCACATGGTACGTGGAAAGAAGAAGGGAAGTTTCTTGGGAAATCTTTACCCATGTTGAGACTTCAGGCTACATTGTTATTGATTTTCTCCAAATCTGATTACTTGATCCATACAAGGAATATTCTCAAAACGATTAATCTTTGTTGGCGATTGAAAGCTCGTTTCCTATGCTGATAAAATCCCGAAAATAGAGTCCATCCTTTCAAGATATCAAATGCTTTAGCTGAATATTGCTAATGAAAAACATGGGTATATCCTTCAATTTCATTTTTTTTTTTTTTTGTCAACCTTATGACCTTAACCAGAGACACAGTGCAGCATTTTTTGGAATTCACCATTCCAAGCTTCTGAGTTTCTATTCCTGCTCTTGATAGTAATCTTTTCATTTCACTTGAGTTGGATAAGATCATGAAAATGTAGTTTGTAAGCGAAGATACTTGACCACCATGCCTGTCATCTTGTAACTAATGACCTCTGGTAAAGATCGAATGTTCAAATCAGGACCAAGTTGAACTGATATGGTGACAGGGTCTCACTGTTTCTTTCTTTCCTCCTCTACAAATGATGGGTTCAAACCATTATCTGCATATTACTATTATTATTAAAATAGTAGTAAAACCTTAGCTATTGGCCACTTCAACCATTTTTGATATTTTATGAAACCAACATGGACACCATGTATATAATTAGAAAGGATTTTTTTTGTGAAGATTCACTAGTGAGTTGTTCTGTAGTATTTTAAATCACTGATCCTTGCTTGTAAAATATAACTTTATCTATTGTGAAATGATCAATTAGGTTTTGAAATTTTCAATTTGTTTTGCATGATTTTTGTTTATGAATTTGATGTTTTAACTTCTTTAAACTTAAAATAATTTTTATTTTTAATGTTAAATTTCTTACAGTGTTCTGAAGAAGAAATAGATAATGGAACTGAATGTTTGCAGCTTGTTCTCACTCATTGTGGAATCAATGCTAAACTTATTCCTGGAAAAGAAGAATTGTTTAAAGTCACTCATAAAAAGGATTTATATATTGCAGAGGGGCTTCTGAGAGGTATACTTTAAAGGAAATTGCATTGAAGTTACAAAAACTAAAATTTACCACTACCATTTATTATCTGGTTCTCTGTCAATAAAGTGTCATTAATTTGGTTGATTTTTCTCTAATTTATTAAAAATTATTGTTGTCATGACAGTGTACCAATTTCATAAATTTTGTGCTTCTTATTTTACTTAGACACTTTTTTTTGAAGGTGTATTATAATTAACCTCATATGAATATATTATGTATTCATTATCTACAAATCCTTGTAGATAATGAATAGTCAATCTTAATTTAAGTTTTAAAAAATCCTAAAAAAAGAAAAAAGGACCAATCTTTCTTTACCCAACTGTTTTAGAGGATAGATAAGTACAAGCCCCTCTTTACTATTACAATCTTTTTTTTTTTAATTTATTTTGATGAAATTTATAACTGTATTACATCTAAAATACAACAAGTAAATGTGACATTGGTAACATTACATGTGCAACATGAAGAGAAACTACCCATTGGTAGAACTCAATTAAAGTAATATATTAGAAGGTCCCGAGGCCATCTTCTTTTCAGACATCTCGGAGTGTTATCAGGATTAGAAGAGGAAGCAAGATTTGAATCAGGCTTCGGATGGTTCAGAAGTTTATTATGGGAGGATAGGTATCTGGAGTGGGCTAAATCAGAAACATATGGTACATTATTGTCGTTATGGATGATTTTATTTGTGACATAGTAAGGTGCACTGAGGATTTTACAAAGGATTTTGGATTGTAAAGATTGAATACGAGAGGAATTCGATGGTTTAGTAGAGCCCCAAAGCTCGATTCCATGAGTCCTAATATGCCTTATTATAGTCATATATTTAAGTCTTTTGTAAGTAATTGGAAGTTTAGAGTGTTTGTCTAGTTAGTGCTGGAGTAGTCGAAAACGTCCAGCGGTTTTTTGTCGTTTCAGTCTGGTATAAGGATTCCAATTGAGTCGTTTGTCGATGTGTAGTCCTTGGAATCGGATTTGTTCAACCGGGATAAGTACTATTACAATCAAATTGATAAATCTCATTCATATCACCTTCATTGCTGTGTAGATCATCTCGTTTTGTAAATGTAATAAATTTTAAAAAACATAATAATCCATACAAGTATGTCATGAAGGAGATTAAAAACATCAACAAATGTCGAATATATTATATTGTAGTGAGTAGAAAGCATTGATACTTCAACAAATCATTTCTGTATTTCCATACAAATATATATTTAAAAGTACAAATATATATTTTACTGTATATTTATTTTAATTATGTTAAATTTGTTGATTTTAGAAAAAACTACCGATGTTTGTATAATAACGGATGAAGAAAACGAAGCTGTTAGGCTACTTGATGATTCTCTTCATGGTAAAGTAGGAAGCCTTGAAGTAGTAGTTGGTGACCCTTCTTCCAAGAATTTTGATAAAACATACAATATTGTTATACTTTTTCATAGTAGAGAAATACAACAAGATCTTCATCTTCTTGATTTTGCATCTCTTATTGATCTTGATAAACAGGTATGTTGTAATTTGCTTTGATTAATATATATATAACCTGTACCACTACAACCCATGAAGGATCTGGGGTTCAGTACTATTTAGGGTAAGCACTGTTTCTAGGTCAACGGTTGTGCAAGGAGGTGATTTGACCGAGATCACGCTCAACCGCCAGGTTTTTTATATATATATATATATATATATATATATATATATATATATATATATATATATATATATATATATATTTATTTGTATTTTCACTGATGATTTATATTTAATAGATTTAGTTGTCTAATTTATTAATTTCAGTTATATTAAATGTTAGTTCTACTTGATTTTATGAAACCAACCTCATAGAAACATTTTCTCCTAGGATAGCATCAATTTTTGCAATATAGGAATCAATTTGTGGTACCAATTCTAGAAAGATAACAGTTGAGTTGATGTAAGAGTTATTCATAGTTTTTGTTCAACAAATCTGATAATATTTTTGAGCATTATAATGACAAGATGAATAATTAAAAATAATTTTTTAAACAGTTCATCTTTAAGTACATCAAATTAAAGAGAAATTTAGTATAACATAGAGTCTTTAAATGAAAAATATAGTTAGTATAACATAAGATTTTTTAAAGAAATGAGATTGTATAATATAGAGTTAAAATAAA